TACTGAGAAGAGAGCTATGACAGTAGCATCTGCTAATGGAACCTGCAAGAGATCTATAGCATGGTTAGGCAAAGAATAAAACTTTTTTTGCTCAACTCAGGTTTTGACCATTCCTCTTCCATTTGAGTCTTAGAGAATTCTGGGAGTGGCACTACTTTTTCCATACTAGGTAACCTGGGGGGAAATTCCCTTTGGGTTTAGCTTTAGGATTGGTCACTTCTTCCCGTTTCTGGGAGCTCTGAGAAATCTACTGCATTCACAGCCTTGGGTAGTAGTCCTTGATAGTTCTCTTGCTTAGAGAGAGGTTTGGGTTGCTCTGGAACCATAATCTCTTCCCCAGACATTTCCCCTTCTTCCTTAATGGAAGAACTGTCTGATTCCCCTGAGTTTCTTGTGAGAAGGGTGGGACTGTGCACAGCCATTTTATGTGCTCCCTTAGTCAGTCAGGGCTTGTGCCCTGCAATCTGCCCCCTATCAAGGAATTGTCCCTGCTCCCTCATCTTAATGACCCATGGGAAGGGGGGAGGGGATGTGATCTGGAAGAGGACCTTGAACAATAACTTTTCTGGCTCCCTCATGGGAGAAGTGTGGCCTGCTCTCGCAGGGACCAAAATTTCTCCAACACTGCATGGTGAAGTCAGCTTACTATCTACAGGGGGCATTCAGAAAATGGAGATTGAGAGGGAGGGGAGGCGTCTCTACCTTGCTCTGTGGTGGTACTCCATCTCCCTGACTACTCCACTGCAGTCAGATGCACTGAGCCTGAGTCTGGCATCTTTGTTGGCATGGAAGAGCTTCCTGCCAATTTGGCCTCTGCCATTGAGGCATATTCCAAGACGCGGTCTACTCATGCAGCATGCTCTTCTTGCCACCTCTGCACATCTGCCACTGGCTACTCTTCTGCAGGTCTGTGGCTGCTCAACTGTACTGGAGAGTAGTCCCTTTCTCCTGTTTTGTGAGGAGAAGGGAGTCTCCATCCTCCTTGGAAATGAAGCCATCTGAGGCTTTGTTGGCGTTCTCAATGTCCTCCATTGCCTCAGCCATGCCATCCTCAGAAGGGGGGGGAGTAGACCAAAAGGAGGAATTGAAGTATTGAATAAGGACAAAGGGTGGGGCCCGTGATACTCGCGGGGGGGGGGGAGGCAGAGGAAGCACCGTCTCCCCCCCCCCCTGCCTTTCCTCCCCCTTGCCTTCCCTCCCCGGCTCCTCGCCATTCTCCCCCCGGCCCCGAAGCGAGCGCTGAGCAGCGTGCCGCTCGGCCCTCGCTGCTGGTTCCTCCCCGCCCCCCGATGTTATTTTCCAGGTTTAGGATTTTTGTGCACCCGTGGGGACCACCCCACGTGCGCACAAACCTCTCCCTCCCCCCCAGGTCGCCCCGATGTGCGGATTAAGTATCCGCACACCAGGGGGCGACTTGAGAATTAGATATATAGATGAGAAGTATTAAAATGGTAGAAACAGAAGTATCAGGTGCCTTCTGCTGAATTGTAGGGGCCTTGCTGAGCAGCTCTTACGAAATGTCTGCTCTCCCCGACAAGGCTAGCTGAAGAAAGTGGGGGACTCTGCCCAGGAGACAGGAAGTCTAGAAGAATTTTACTCCTGCCTCCTGGATGGATGGATGGATGGGACTCACCCATCAAGATGCCCTCCCCTTCAGAGTGAGAATGACTAAGTAGTAAGATCATAGCTATAAAACTTTAATTTGACTTGGGATGATTAGATTTTGTTGTCCCTATACTGTGTACTTCTTACTAGAGTGTTTGAAGACTGATCATTTTACAGGATTAGTCCCACAACCTTTAAATGATTCATGTGAGTAGTTGAGAAGCAATTCAGTCCCCAGAGCAACCTAACCATCAAGGGAAGTTCTAAATCTCACCTGGTCTACCTATTGCTAGACTGAACTGTCTAAATGGCCTTGGACACAAAGAAAACTCCTTTCACATCAAAGATAAGATGTAATGGTTATAGCCCAGCTTCCTCCCAGATACGTCAGGAGAAGTTTTTGAATGCATGGTTTGACCCTTGCAGTTGGGGGGCGGGGGCGGGATCCAACCATATATGTCACTTATAGCAATAACTGCAGCTCCGTGTTCAACTTGTATGTTATTTTGCATAGTCTAAGCAATTTCATATAAAAAATTGAAGGTGTATTTGACATAGAATCCTCATAGGTAAAGTAAAGGTAAAGGTTCCCTTGCTCGAAAGCCAGTCGAATCCGACTCTAGGGTTGCGGTGCTCATCTCCGTTTCAAAGCCGAAGAGCCAGTGCTGTCCGAAGACGTTTCCGTGGTCATGTGGCCGGCATGACTAAACACCAAGGTGCACAGAACGCTGTAATCCTTCCCACTGGAGTGGTACCTATTTATCTATTTGCAATTTCTTGCTTTTGAACTGCTAGGTTGGCAGGAGCTGGAGCTAGAGACAGGAGCTCGGGTCTCGAACTGCTGAACTACTGACCTTCCACAGCCTGCAGTTCAGCGTCTTAACCACTTGAGCCACCACAGCTCCACAGAATCCTCATAGTACTCTGCTAAAAGCCATGCGAACTGGAATACTGGACACCAACTGTGCAAGACCTATGAAATCCATTTGGATGTCCTGAAAGTGGGTGGAGAGGTATTCTTGCCCAACGCATCCTAGATGCTTTTTGAGGTGGCATTTTGATAGAGTTGTCATGAGCCCAGGTTGTACTAAGGAGTTCTTGGTAGATGTTCTCCTGCTAGAAAACTCATTATTTGCCAGAGGCTAAACAGAGAGTGAGCAGTTCTATCTTGTCCAAACAGCATCAGATTGCTTTTAAAACTCCACCCCCGAAGTAGCTGGGGGAAAATATCAAGGTGATATGAATTTTTAACATGTATGTACGAAAGAAAGGTTACCCTTGTAACCTGTACTCTGCTGTGTTACAGAGCCTCAAGGGCCATCGTATATGACTGTTTTTAATATGTAGCTCTCATTTTAGAATGTTCAACCCAACATACTTTGGCAACATTGTCTTTAAAAAAGTATTGCTCAGGCAATGCCAGGCTCCAAACCTCAGTGAAGTTGTCCACGGATTGCTTGGCTGTGCACAATAGGGGCTGTTTCTGGCACAGGCTGTGGTGATTGTTTATTGGTGAGCATGAGGCCGAGAGGCTGTAAATCCATACGGAAAGATGAAGACCTATTCAAAATTAATCTACCAAAAGGAAAGGTCACTTCTGAACCCACTGAAAAATATTGATCATTTTAGAACTAATGCCACATAGCTGCGGTTCAAAATATCTGTTATGGCATAAAAAGATGTGTTCAGGATACACAAAAGAAGCATCTGATGTTTCACAGTGCAATAAAAACACCGTCACCCCACACAAATATTTTACAAAACCACAACTTTACCAAAAAAAAGTAAGGTTTATTTAATACACTGTAAAAAGCCTTATATAAATCTTTGTAATGCTTTCTATTGTCACTTTTCCCAAACCACAACTAGTGAATCAGGGCCAAATCTATTAGTGAAAGAGAGTTGCCCTTTCAGTTCTTAAAATGAACTTTTGAAATGCAACCAGCTTTAAAGAAGGTCAGGCTACGGTGCTTATATGTTCATAAAGATCAGAGTCATTTTGAAGCACTGATTATATACTGGAGAATAACTCGAGGCGTTGTATGTTTGAGACAGAAAAACAATCCAAGAGCAAAACCAGAAGCCCAACATAAAGTATTCTTTAAGGGATGTAGACTCTAGTCCAAGATTCCAGTCAAAGGCTAAATGTTTAACCTCTCTGGCATACAGATCAGCATCCAGGAACTACAGGGGCAAATCTAGCACCTGGATGTCAACCCAGCCACAAGGGAAGAGGGTGGCGAGGGAGGGATGGCTCCAGTGATTTGAAAACTGTCCACTCTGGGGAGTGGTGCCCCTGCCTCTCCTGTCTTGTCCTGCGCTGCCCCTTTCTTTGCTGACCAGCGCAAGTAGCATGTTAGTCATTTTACAAAAATGAAATGAAAGCTTGGCTTTAACAAGGGGCCCAACTAGCAGTCAGTCCTCACGTTTAAGCTTAAATTACGACCACCATCTTCTCTCCCACACTGCATCTAGCAACTGTGGTATTCAGTAATCAACATACAAAAATAAAATTGACCTAACACTCTAGCAAGACAAATTAACAATGCAATTCCCATGACCACATTATTAGAAGGCTGGCAATATTGGTGTAATTTTGCATCCTTTTCACAGCTAAAACCATCCATCATTTGCTTCTTGTACAGCTCGCCCGGGATTGTCCCGCTTGGGAGATTGCACATGGAAGTGTGTATGTTTGAATGCTCTTTAACATCTAAAACCACTGCCTGTGGAAAGCTGGCCTGTCAAGGAAAAGATGTCTAACTCTTTTCCCTCCCCAAATGCTGCTAGTAGTCTATGCACAGAAATTCCCTCTGTCTTTAAATTAGAGTATGCCACACATACTGTAGTGGCACACTGCCAGAAGACTGTACCACATGATACTTCTGATTCTATAACTCAGCCCAAAGCCATGGTAATCTTAAAACACTCTCCACATTCAGGAAGATATGACATCTAATACACCCCCACCATAAACTGATCCCCATTTCCAGGACTTCAGCTCAGAAGAATTACATCGTTTGTTAAGTGCATGTGTACAAAGGTTTTCATCATTCAACACCTATTTTGAAAATAAGTGAATCACATACACTTCTAGAAAACAGAACTGCGTAAATTTGCAATCAAGCCATTTTAGGATCTTTGGTACTCAGAGAAGAATAAATGACACAGTGACAAACCATCCCACAAAAAATAATTTAGGAGGGAAAAAATAAAACCAAGAAAAGATATGGTCTTAGTCATTTTTAAAAGCATCTTTCCCTGCTTCTTAGTAGGAATGGCATTGTCCCTGCACTCCCCTCCTTTCTCTAGAAGTTCCCTACTATCATTCTAGAAGCTTTACTTAGAATTAAGTTGTCTGATTTGAAGACAGTGGAATTTTCTTCTCTGAAAGTAAAGAATTACAACTCACTCGACAGAAGTTTATTATGCTAAAGGTACTGTCTTTCAGCTACCCTTTGCACGCCAACCAGAATAACATTTGCCTCCCTGAAGTACAACTCCTCTTTTGTATCTTTATTAGGAACCATGTGCTCTGCCCTCAAGTATAAGCCATGAAGCACACAAAAAATAAACCTTTCAAACAACTTATTTGAACCAGTATTGTTTTTTCTCAAAACAATTATTCCAGGATAACTTTGCATGTCACTACACTTCATCTGTTGGGCAGATTCTTTTCTATAACATCGCAAAAAGTGGCTGGTGGTTTCTATACTGCATATCTAAATCCACACCCAGGACAACAATTAAGCACACATGATAGGCAACTTCACCGGGTAACTGCCAGTGATGCTTCTTACATGTGCAATATGATTTCAACCTCTGGGCCAGTTAGACATATTACAGTACCAACAAAGCCACAGTGCAAACATAGGCACAATTAATCTTTATATACTCACAGGCAGTGCAGATACAAAGATCCTTTCATTCCAGTACTTTTGTTATAATAAAGTTAACAAAAATATTTACTATTAAAAGGGGGGGGGAGAGAAGTCTGCTGGCACTGCCAACTAATTATCATAGTACTCTTAGAAATCCTAATCCAGTAGGATTTCCTAATGTCTCCACAAAGTCTATGTGCGTCAGTCAATCTGTGTGGACATTTCAGTGTTATCGATCTAGGCCAAGCAGATCTTGAGGATGCAGCAGCTACCTGAGTTCTTATTTGGGAGGGATTTTTATCCCCCTTGCTGTGTTTTACAACTTCCCTGATTTCATGTAGGAAGGGATGGAGCCACGTTGAGTGAGCCCTTCAAATCTCTTGTAGGTATAATTGAGGAAAACCCAATCTTTGGACTTGTAGTCAGGTTCAGTGGTGTTTGGCACTAGAAGACAAAAACAAAAGGAATTAGCACATATACATTCCAAAACTCCCAACAATCACAGGTTAACACGAAAAATATCAAAGCTCAATCACCTATGCCATGTGAGCACGTAACAAAGTTTGTCTAGGATCCAGAGGTGAATTAAGAACCAAAAGGTTAAAGAACTCAGAATATAAGGGCCCAATAGTTCTGTGTCTAAAATTGAAGTATAAATATTATTAAATATACAAAAATATACATGTATTTATACATGAATTTATTACAAATTCAATAAAAATAAATATAGGCCCAAGTAATAGCCTCAATTCAGAATAAAATCATGCATTAATCCCAAAGATAGACCATTACTGACCCTGACCAATGACAATGTTGTTACAGAATGGTTTCAGACATTACAATAATACAGTCATTTCTTAAACTTAGACCAAGGTGAAATTGTTCTGGAGAAGAAAGGGGGGGAAACATAATTACTAATTATTAAAATTGGTACGTTATTATGAACTAGGAGTAAGGACTGTTGTGGGAAGAAATACAATGAGCTCTAGAAAGGGGCTCCAGGTAAGTGTCCCGGCTGTGGCTGGTTGGGCGGCAGAGAGAAGGGGGGAAATAGAGGGAGGCGAGCCATTATCTCCTTCTGCTCAGCTATAAGGCAGGGCTGTCTCAAGTAATTTTGCTGCCCCAAGTGAATAGGATGGGAGGAGAGTTGCACACCATGTTTTCTGGGTTTCAAGGGTCTGGAAAGTAGTTCCATAGCCAGTTACAGGGTTGCCAACTCCGGGTTGGGAAATACCTGTAGATCTGAGGGGTAGAGCCTGCAGAAGGCAGGGTTTGGGGTGGGGAGGGACCTCAGCAGGGTATAATGCCACAGAGTCCACTGCCCAAAGCAGCCATTTTCTCCAGGGGAACTGATCTTGGAGATCTCCAGGTGCCACCTGGAGGTTGGCAATACTAAGGGAAGGGCAAGGTTTGTTGAAGGACTTCAGTGAGGTATAATGCCATAGAGTTCACCCTCCAAAGCAACCATTTTCTCCATCGGGACTGATCCCGGTAGTCTGGCGATCAATTGTAATTCAGAGAGATGTCCACGCCTTCCCTTTCCCCCAACCTCTTTCAGTTCCAAAGCTGCTTCCTGTTTAACACTTTAACTGATTAACAGTTTAACTGACTCCTTACTACTAATATCCCACGGCCTCTTGGGACTCCCAACTTGGGAGCTGTAGTTCTAATTCCCTTTGCTATGGTTACAGTAAGGCTAGCTGAGAACTACAACTCCCAAGGTGAAATGTGTCAAAAGTGGGGGTGTAAGAATAGAGGAGCCAGTGGGACGGGCCAATAGCACATCAAGGCAACTTCCCCAATGGCCAATGGGACAGTAGGTGAGTTGTCACCAGCACAGCTTTTTTATTTTTATATATATTCATACACACACACACACGTACACGATAACAAATGGAGAACCGCAGGAAACTTGCGGGAGTGTTATCCCATTCCCCCCACCTCTGCTTCTTTCGCTCTCCCCCTACTAGTCTCACCCTCTTTCTCCTTCGTGCCATCCCTTGTTTCCCCCTCTCTCTCCCCTCCATGCCTGTCACTTTCTTTCCCCACCTTTTCACTCTTTCTGCCCTGTCACTCTCCTGGCCTCCCACCTACTTCCTCCCCCCCCCCACAGCAACAGTGGCAGCAGCCCCTCTCTAGAAATCACAATGAACTGTCGAAATACAGAGATCAGTTCCTCTTAGGGTTGCCAGCTCCATGTTGGGAAATGCCTGGAGATTTGGGGGGATGGAACCTTACAAGGATGAGGTTTGAGCTTGGAAGTGACCTCAGCAGGGTATAATACCATATACTCCACCCTTCAAAGAAGCCATGAGCTCTGGGGGAACTGATCTCTATCATCTGGAAATCAGTTGTAATTCCAGATCTCCAGCCCTAGAGGAAATGACTGCTTTGGAGGGTGGAGTCTGTCTGAAGTCCCTCCTCACCTCAATTCCCATCATCCCCATACTCCACATCTCAAATATCCACAGCAAGGTGGGGATTCAAACCTGAGTCTCCCAGACCCTACTCTGAAGCGCTGACCGTTATATTACACTGACTTTCATAGGGAGCTTGCTGTAGAACAGTAGCAAGCAGCCAGGCCTAGTTGAATCATGCAAGTCAGGTGGTCTCAAGTCACCCAGAGGGTGCTGGTAGGCCTAGGTTTGTCAGCCTCCAGGTAGGACCTGGAGATCCCCCAGAACTACAACTGAACTCCAGACCACAGAGATCTATTCCCCTGGAGAAAATGGGTGGACTCTGTGGCATTATATCCAGCTGAGGACTCTTCCTTCAGAGTCTGCACTCCTCAGACTTGACCACAGAATCTCCAGAAATTTCCCAACCTGGAGTGTGCAACCTGAGTCCCAGGCCTGGCTCCAACCCCCCTGCTATTTAGCCATTTATACTGCAAGAGGAATCCTTCCCAATCCCAGGTCCAGTTCTGCTTTTGCTTCCTCCCCCCTCTCTCTCTGTCTCTGGCTATCTCTCACTATTGATGTGGCAGGGCCTAGAGTAGATCCCTGCTGCAGCCATTTCAAAAGGTATGGGGGTGGGATTCAACCCTCCCTGATTATTATTTTTTACTTTTTGGATTTTTCTGCACCCCACAGATTCCCCTGAGTCTGTAGAAAAATGTGTTGGGGGATAGTATGCCCCCTATCTGCAGAAATAAGTATCCGCACGCAGAGGGGACTGTTGAGAATTATATATATAGACAAGTGGAAACCCGCAAGAAACTTGTGGGATGGTTATCCCATTCCTCACACATTTGCTTTCCCCCCTCTCTCCCTACCTCTCTCATATTCTTTCTCCGTTTTGTACCTTTTTTTACTCACTCTCTCTCTCTCTCCCTCCTCCACACGTTACTTCCTCTCTCTTTCTGACCGTCATAATTTCCTTTGTTTTTCTGCCTCCCCACCTCACTCTTTCTGTCTTTCTGCCCCCCACCCCATCACTCTCTCTTTCTGCCCTCATCATTCTCCCAGCCTCCTGCCTGCTTCCTCCCCCACCCCACACAGCAGCAGCAGTAGTGGTGGCAGTATTCCCAGCCACCCACCTGCTTCCTCTGCTTCCCACAGCAGCAGTGGAAGCGCGCTGGGAATCACAACGGATCTCTCAGCTACAGAGAACAGGACTGCCAGCTCCAGGTTGGGAAATTCCTGGAAATTTGCAGTGGAGCCTTGGGGAGGCAAGCAGCTTCACCAGGGTATAATGCCATAGACGCAACCCTCCAAAGCAGCCATTTTATCCAGGGGAACTGATCTCTGTCACCTGGACAACAGTTGTAATTCTGGGTGATCGTCAGCCCTCACCTGGAGGCTGGTAATAGTAGTTCTTGTGGAGGAAATGGCTGGTTTGGAGGGTGGAGTCTATGGCATTACACCAGTCAGTAGTTCCTCCCCTCCTCAAATCCCATCCTCCCCAGGCTCCACCCCTCAAATGTCCAGGAATTTCTCAACCTGGAGTTGGCAACCCTATTTCCTTCCCACCCAACAGCCAACCTACCTTTATCTGTCTTCAGCTTTCCGTCTCCACCCCCCTGTCCCACATCCTCTACCTAGGAAATTTACAGTCTTTCTCCACAGTGGGGACCAAAGCAGCTTACATTATTCTCTCCTCCTTTTTATCTGCACAACAACCCTGTGAGGATGATTAGGCTGAAAATATGTGACTGGTCCAAAATCACCCAGTCAGCTTCCACTACAAGATGGGAATCTGAACCTGGGTCTCACAGACGCTAACCTGAAGCTCTCACTGTTACATCACACTGGCTTTCATAGGGTGGTTGATGAACAGTAGCAAGCAGCTGGGCTAGTTGAGTCATGCAAATCAGGTGGTATCAAGTCACCCATAGGATGCTGCCTAGGGATGCCAGCCTCCAGGTAGGACCTGGGGATCCCCTGGAATTACTGCTCATCTCCAGACTACAGAGACAACTTCCCATGGAGAAAATGGATGCTTTGGAGGGTGGACTCTATGACATTGTACCTCACTGAAGTCCCTGTCCCCCCCCCCCCCCCCGCCCCCCCCCAAACCACCCACGGTTTACCCACCCCGTTGGTCAGGGGGGACCTGGCAACCCTAGACTGCTGCCAGGCCTAAGGTTGCCAGCCTCCAAGTGGGACCTGGAGACCCCCCCCCCCCGAATTATAACTGAATTATAGACAGCAGAGATCTGTTTCCCTGGAGAAAATAACTGCTTTGGAGGGTGGATGTGGCATTATACCTAGCTGAAGACCCTCCCCTTCCCCAAACCCAGCCCTCCTTATAGTCCACCACAAAACCTATAGTAATTCCCCAGCCTGGCACTGGCAACCCTTGTCAGGCCTGGCCCCAAGGCTCCCTCCTTCAAAGCCATCTCCTGTTCCTCCTTTTGTTTCCTACTTTATAAAAACATAATTTGTTCACAAAAGTTTTCTGAGAACAAATAATGCTTCATTTTCTCCACCCTGCCTCCTTGCAGTAAAACTCTCCTGCTACCTCCACACTGACCAAACTGGGTCACAAACTCTCTGGGCAAAAAGTGTCACTTCAGTGAATCATTTAGTACTCTCCTGCAGAAATCTAATTCTTGTAAGGTCACTAAGATGTGACTAGTTAACTTAGATCGGGGATCTCCAACCCTTCTGAGCATGCAGGCACCTTTGGACTTTTGACACAGTGTGGTGAGCACAACCACAGAACAGCCGCCACAAGAGGCAGAGCCAAACACAAAATGTCAGGAAGTGAGATTATGCATCACTCCAGTAGCAATTATGCAATAACTCCAATAACTTTTCAAAATTTCAGGCAGAAGCTATTTTTCTTTTAAAAATGGAATATATTATTGAATATCTTGCATACACACAGTCATCCTTATACAGTCATCCTTATATAGTTTACCTTCATCCTTGTATTGTGGTGGCAGCTGCTGCCAAAGCAACTTTTAAAATCTGTGCAGGCAATCAAATCTCCAATAACCAATCAGAAGCTCTGCTGGGCAAAAGCCCCACCTGGCCCTGGCCCCTTTCTAACACTGGGCGAGCACCAGGAGTGGTGTTGGCAGGTGCCACAGAACCGAAGGGCACCACATTGGGGATCCCACTTAGACCTAGATGGGACTATCCGCTTTCCTCACCTGGAGCTGTGTTCTCTGGCCCTTCTGTCTCCTAGCTGTCCTTCTCAGACTCCTCCCTCTAGCTGTCTCCTTGTCCTCTCCTGCCTCTAGAATGCTCTCTTCCTCTTCTCCTTGGGCCCTCCAGTTCCTTTCTCCTGCCCCTCTGTCCCTTGCTTCTATTTCCTCTAGTCTCTTCTGCTCCCCTTCCCCTCTGAACAGCTCAGTTAATGATGGGCAAAGATCCTTCTGCTTACACAGCCACTCTAGAAAGTCATGTCCATTCAGACAACTGTAGCCACCGGCACTAAATTCCATATTGCTTTACAACTGTGGTTGTTTTGACATATGCAGCATTTAGAACTGGGCTGTCCGATGGCATAAGATATAGTGGGCGCCACTGAAGTGTGCACGAAGAGACTCATGATCTTTTCTCACTGGGCCAGGAGAGGCAGGGAGCAGAGGCTGGTCTGGTGAACTGTAAGGTCATCAGGAAGATTAGAAAACAACTTGTGATCATAATTTTCTTCTTTAAGTAGACATCCCTTCTCACCTGGCTGTAAAATATCAGATTCTGGGAATTCATCAAAATTGGAAGTATCATCAATGCTTTTAATTTCTATAGGGATTGCAGCTGGCCTCTCTCTACAGCAAAAGAAAAACAACAACCAGAAGAGTAGTAGTCAGCATAACCAATGTCACTACCATTGAACATCATGGTTTAATCTTGTGGTACTGCCACACTTAAGAGTTGTGCTGCACGTGGCTTGGCCATTGGTGGCTAACTATAGAAGGGTCCCGTTGCCTCTGCTACTCCTTTTGGAGGATGTTCCTTACAGAACAGTTAATAAACAGAGGGCTCTGTGAAAGGTTTCCAGTGGTCCAGGGTAGAACTTGACAGCACTACACAGCTCTTAACGCCTTCCCTTCCCTCCCTCATGCCTCTTGTTTTCAGGGTCTTCTAACCATAACCTCAATGGCTTCGAGGAAATGACTCTTTTCTGCTCAACAAGGAGGCTTCCTTAGAAGGAGCACACCTTAGTCCCACAGAGTGGAAGCCTGGTGTCATGTCCAACACTAAATGCCTTCCATCTCCCTTATGGCAAACAGGGAAAAGATGGATACTCCCTTTGCTCTGCTGCCAGCTACTTCGACTGAAAACTAATGTTTAGGGCACGCCATCCCACCAAAGAAGTCACACTATCCTGGTGTTGCCCAGTATTCAATCAGGGACTGGCTCTTTTCATCATCTTTGGAATTCACACAGAACTAGACAGATAAATTCAGCCTCAGATTAGGCAGAAGGCGGCTTAATCTCACTGCCCTCCAATCAGAATAATCCATACTAGACTGCATATTAATTTATGGAATCCTGAGATGGGACTGCAAACAGGGTGACATTCACGGTCTCACAATCAAAGATTGGTGTGTGTGTGTGGGGGGGAAGCTAACAGGCCCACTCACACAAGCATGTGTGGAGGTACACAGATAATGCAATGATTTGCCAAAGAGGCCCTAAAACTGTAACAGCTTTCTAGTGAGGTTCCCAAGATCAGGGAGCCCTGAGGTTTCCCACACCCCACACTAATGTTTCATCACATATACCTGATATGTCCCCAGTCAACACCTTCAAAAAATTGATGTATCTTAATTTCCTCCACTCCATTGCTACCAACTCTGTTTTCTGCATCAATACAGAATCTAAAAGAGAGAAGAGATAAAAATGGTTACAGTCAAGGTGAACAACAATGAAAGGTATACAAGGATGTGTTTTGTACAAAACATTCCTTCCATCAAATGAGTGACCAAAATAGACCACTTTTAGTTTTCTACAGGAAAAATCCTTTCCCTTTTACTGAGCTTGTAATTCCCATCTACAAAATATTTATTTATTCATTAATTCATTCAATTTATACCCTGCCCTCCCCGTCGAAACAGGCTCAGGGCGTCTTACATAAAAATTACTGAGCAGATAATTGCTTCTGTTTCTCCACCCCAGTAGCTGATGCTGTGTTTTGCCTGTTGGCATGGAAGAAAGTATTATTATGCAAATAAATCACATTACTCATTGAGTTATCTGTCAGTTGCTTTACATCTCTTGTAAAATAATTTTACAATCACAATTTTAAAGTAGAAAATAACAGAACAAAAACTAAAGCTATAATGTTCTAAATTAACCTGAAACATTCTTAATGTAGCTTTTCTAACAGATTTCTGTACTATTAATTTAATATTATCCCTAACGTGATAGGTAATTTTACTGTATATGGAAAATGAAGGTTCAGAACAAATGTGGAATTATAGGATTCACTAACAATTATGGCAAATTCAGAGCCCTTTAAGGTGATGACCTACAGTTTTAGGAAATAAACATTTTAAACTACTATACGTCATGGGCCGGCCGGCTGCCACCACCTCCTCCTCAGAGGAATCAGAAGAAATGGGCCCTGCATCAATGGAATCCCCATCTGAGCAGCTGGGTCCAGCAGCAGACCCAACAGGGGAAGCATCAGGAAGTGAGAACACTTTCCATTCACAGCCAGATTGCTCAATCTTCCAGGAGAAGAAAGAGATGCCACAGAGGCTTCCATCTCCATCTCTGCTGGCATTGTAGGTCAGTTAGGAGAGAAGGACTCCTCAGGAGGAGAGAACTCCTCAGGAGAAAAGGGGCCCTGTATAGCCAGATCTGAAGCAGCAGAAGCCGGCAAGCAAGAAGATGAACTGCAAGCTTGTCAGAGTTCACAGCCAACAGATGAGGCAGAGCCAGCAGCACCTTCCAGCCCCATTCCAACAGATAAGTCCCAGGTGGTTGTTACCAGCCATCCAGTTTCACCCACACCCTTTGAGCACTGGAGATGAAAGAATGGAGCTCCAGGAGAGAAGACAAAGTGCATATCTCCTGGCCCGATACCAGCTGCTTGCTGCTGATGAATAAACTGCAGGGTTACTCCTAAGCAGGTGGCTGTAAGACAGACCTCGCAGCAGATGCCTATAAAAGCCAGTCAAGGGAGACTACTCTGTGTGGAAGCAACAAGTCAACACCTGTTGGACTCTGCTCCACTCCAGTGACCTTTGGACCAGCTTTGGACTTGGATATTGGACCTGCCTGCTCTTGTGTATGACCTTGGACTGCTAGACCTTGCTTTCTGAATTGGACTCTGCTCTCTGGTAACTGACTTTCTGGACTGAATCTTGACTCTGACTTTGGACTCTGACTTGGCTTGGACCTAGATTCTGACAGCTGGCCTCTCCAAAACCAGCAGAGCACTCTAGAGAAAAGACAAAGCACTCATCTAATTGTTCAGCAACTATCAGTGTTCATTCCTGGAGCAGAGTCCTTACAGGACCAGGACTGACAGAGAAACAGTAAAGACCTGCACCTGTAGGAACCTGAACGCAACTGTAAGGAGTGACACCTGGGCCTTGGGGGATGAGTCAGCAAAGGAGGCAGATAAAAGGAACATGCTGAGCAAGGCTCTATGTGGAAGGAACCTGGTGAACCTGCTTAGCAAACAGAACTCTGCCTTGACTTGCTATCTTGTACCTTGTTGCTGATAACCTGTGCTTGCTCCTACAGCCTGGGACCCAGACCCTGCATCCTGCACCTGTTCCCCAGCCCTTGAACCAGACCCTTGAACCCTCAACCCTCCTGTACCTTTGATTTCTGACTCCAGACTGGTTTGTAGACCTTGCCTCTGTACCTAACTGCTGTGCTTATTGTTACTGTATTTTTGTATCCTGGAAACCCCAAGTAGAGCAATAGCACCAAGGTTGGCCCCTGAATGTGACAACATACATTACACCTAGCTGCCTGGACAACCAATCATTTTGATTCAGAATTAAAGGAATGAACTTCCTTCTTCTGCACCATGTGCTGAAAAATCAAAATCAAATCAGAGAACCACTATCACAAAGTCAAACAATGCACATTTATTTTTGGCATATCTAGAGCTAGTCTGGGACTGTAGGAATTTATCCTCAGATTTCTGAATGAGACTATGAACTGAGGAAGACTATGAGGAACTACCCTGACTGGTTGCAATAGCTCAGTAGTAGACTGCAGACTTCGCACCTGTTAGGGAGGTCCTAGGTGAAGTCCTTGACTCCTCCAGTTAAAGGACCTCAGCTGGTGAGAGTATTGTCGGTCAGGGAAACAACACTGAGATAAAAGTATCAAATGGCCTCTGCCACTGTGTAAGATGGCAGCATAGAATGTGGGCTTTTGTCTGTTTATGCATTCGTCAGTTTCTGAATTCTATTGAATTACCAAAAAGAGCTGATTTTGGCCAACTGCTGACCTGCACAACAGAACCATGTTCTCCAAGCCAAAGTAGGCAACTCGGTTTTTATAGCTATAATTAATAACATCCTGAAAATTTTCAGCACAGAAGCCATATGTCCACAAGTTCAACCGGCAGTCCATCAGCATGGTGAGTTACCCACATTATCATCAACTCACTAATACTACAACAGACTGGAATGTTCCTTCTTCAGCAGGCAAATGGAAGCTAAGAGGTGAGACTGTTTTTAAGTACTCCATGTTCCAGAAGGTGAGCTGCTCAGACCTTTGCCCACAGGGGCAAGAGGGACCCACTTGGAATGAGAAGTAAAAATGCGGGTTTAACACAGCTCTTGGGGGAGTCAAGAAACTGGGCTTAAGGGAACAGAAAATGAACTGTTCGGAATAGTGCTTGCAGCCAAGTACAGAGGAGCGGCAGGATACTTACTACCAGACCATGGTGCTTCCTGATGGGGGGCTATTTGCCTCTATACCACCACCCAGCTTCAAGTAGTTTTCTAAGCCTAGCATGGCCTGGGAAGGGCAATACCTTCATCTCTATGGCTCCTGATGCCGTTCAGCAGATGTGTGTTGCAATAATGGCCACCGTGAAAACCTTCACCATTAACCACACACATTAATCCCTGTCCATACAGAAGTACAAGACACTGTACAGCACAGCCTCTACCAGCAAGGTTGTCTGTGAGTCATGCAGGATACTCAAGAACACAAGTAACCTCAACCTAAATTTTAACATTTGGACAAGCCAGAAACAGCACTGCTAAATGGGACCAAGTTCAGTGCTGATCCAGGCACAAAAGAGGGCAATGAAAGGCCAAAAAGAGGGGGTTGTGCGTCTCTTTGCAACAGTACCTTGCTTCTTTTCTTAATTCTAATACTGATTTTAGCAAAGACAAAAGAAAGTTATTTGGCACCTTAAAGACATTTTTATTCTAGCATAAGCTTTTGCAGACCAGAGCCCACTTCATAAAGATCAGTAATCATTCTTGTTTCCATATGGACTTCAGTAACAGCTCTTGGATTTCCATGCTGCTTCAGGACAGGACATGATGAAGTAGATTTTATTTGGTTTTATGAGATTTAGGGAAACCTTCAGCAGTTGTGGCAGGTGTGCCACATGGCTCCCTTCACAGGCCACTCAGGTGACACTGCAAGCCTATACACATGCAGGCAGGTTACCGGTTTGGCTACCTTCCACTCCACTGCAGTCCCAATTTCCATGAGAGGCAGTACTGTAATGAACATGCTGGTAGGCACTCCTGCACAAATTCTGGCTTCCAGTACTACCTACTTGGAACAATGGCAGAAGGGACCCAAAATTACAAATTTCTGAACAAAACAAGTATGCTCCAACCAGCAAGAAGTACAACAGAAGAGAATTTCAAATGTTGAGAAACAAGTTAGCTACTCACTTTAAAATTAAGTCCTTGGCTTTTTCTGAAATGGGCACCTCAGGTGGAAATATTAGAGTTTCTTTCCAATTCATAACTTTCCTATACGTTTCTTGTGGCGTTTCAGAGCAGAATGGGGGATACCCTGAAGAATTTAAAACACACATACACAAAAAAAAAATTGTTAGGAGCTTCAGACTCTATTACAACAACTGACTCTCACAAGAACCATCAGCACAATAAAGTTCTGCGTCATAGCTACTGGTCAGAGAATGGTACAAAGAATTCTTCTTACCTATTAGCATTTCATACATAATTACTCCCAAAGACCACCAGTCACATAACTTGTTGTACCCTGTCTGCATGAAAACTTCTGGAGCAATATAATCTGGGGTCCCAACAGTAGAATATGCCTGAAAATAAGAAGTTAAGATATTTAGCCAAAATCTAAATGTACTTGGATAGTGTTAAAAAAAGAGTGTCTGTAAATTCCCCCACCATCCCACTACAACTTTCCTAATGGACTGCTTGGCAGGGTAGTAGGTACGTGAAGCATGCATTTTCAACAACAGGTTTTTGTGTTGTGCTGAAAATCTGTCCATAAAGAGAACTCAAACATTAAAGTGTAGCTCTCCCAAAGGTACATACCAGCTGTCTCCTATTCTTTTTCCATGTTTCTGCTTTTCTCTTTGAGTTCATATTCTGAAATGCTGGTGCACAATGTAAAACAAAAAGGCATTAATTCAGATTTGATGAGGAACATAAGAAACTTTCAACTGATGGCCAGTTCCAGTGTCACCCCTGCATCATATTAGGGCCTGCTCCAGTGGCGTGTGCAAACACACACCATATTTGGGTAAGGAGATAACACTATTACTTCCCAGATGACCACCACAACATGGGCATGAGAAGTAACTCCATTATCTTCTGTCACCTCCCCCACAACCAAATCATCACAACTGTGCATACACCTTATTAGTACACTGGAGTGGCTCCACGCTACAATGGTAACATTAGAACTGGGATTTAGAGAAGTAAAGGATGGAGAACACAAATGATTTGCTGAACACTGACTCCAGATTTCCATTGATATCAACATTCATATAAACGGAAGTCCTGTACTAAAAGCAGACAGCTGCACTTGGGCTTTAAAATATGCACTTCAGCTGACTGTACATGCTGCACTTCTCTTCGGCAGATCTGATTTGATTTATTAGACTTCTATCCCACCCACCTGGCTGAAGCCAGCTCAGAAGAGGAGGAGGAGGTGCTCAGTCACATGTTTGGAAGCGCTGACAGGGCCACCCACACTTCCTTGGTCAAGGGGACAGACAAGCAGCTGCTGCCCCCCAAAGATCCTCAGCTGTGTGTGGGGGGGATGTTCCTCAAGAAACCATTAGCCATGTCCTCCAGCATCAGCTGGCCTCATCCCAATAGCCAAGAGCAGCCAGTGCCTAAGCAAAAAGTCCCTGGCTGCAATTGAGAAGAATACGTTAATAGCTAAAGAGGTAGATGCAGGGCTATTTTGGGGCAGGAACGCACAGGAACGGAGTTCCGGCTGGCTCCCAAGTTGGCCATGCCCAGCAGGAGCTAATTAGCATAACAGGCCACACCCAACAGCAGAAACACATTAGTATTGGCTACATTAGGGGTGTGTGGCCTAACATGCAAAGGAGCTCCTGCTACAAAAAAAGTCCTGGGTTTTGACAACAAACAAGGTAAACAGAATAACAAGCAAAAGGTGGGTGTGGCTGGATAACCACACTTCTGGTAACATGGGGGTGCGTCCTAATGTGCTAATGAGCTGTGCTGGCAGGGGTGTGGCCTAATATGCTAATGTGTTTCTGGTGTTGGGTGTGGCCTATTATGCTAATGAGTTCCTGCTGGGCTTTTTCTACAAAAAGAGCCCTAGGTAAATGTATCCTTAAAATACTCTTTTTGCACTCATCCCTTCCTATATGGTCTGGGACTGGTCACTGTCTGGATGGTAGGCTTCTTAAGTCCCATGAGGGACAGGAGGGGGAAGAGATAAAAGCAACAAATAAATACACTGAGTAAGCTGAAGTTCATCTGCTGACATAGAAGGAGAAGTTGTGGAAGCAGTGACAGAATTCACATTCCTGGGATCCAAGATCACTGCAGACAGTGACTGTAGTCAGAAAATTTAAAGATGCCTGCTCCTTGGGAGGAAAGCTATGGCAAACCTAGACAGCATAATAAAAAGTAGAGACATCACCCTGCCAACAAAAGTCTGTATGGTCAAAGCGATGGTATTCCCAGTAGTAATGTACAGCTGCAAGAGTTGGACGAGCGACGAAGAATAGATGCTTTTGAATTATGGTGCTGGAGAAAACACCTGAGAGTCCCTTGGACTGCAAGGAGATCAAATCGGTCAATCCTAAAGGAAATCAACCCTGACTGTTCCCTGGAAGGCCAGATACTGAAGCTGAAGCTCAAATACTTTGGCCACCCAATGAGAAGGGAGCACTCACTGGAGAAGACCCTGATGCTGGGAATGATTGAAGGTAAAAGAAGAAGGGGACGGCAAAGGATGAGATGGTTAGACAGTGTTGTCGATGCAACGAACATGAAATTGAGCAAACTCCAGAGGACGGCGGAAGACAGGAGGGCCTGGCGTGATGTGGTCCATGGGGTCACGAAGAGTCAGACTCAACTGTGCAACTGAACAACAACAACAAACGCTAATTTTGTGTCTGTGCAATTTGCGTTCTTCAAGACATTCCAAAAAAGCATCTGCTGGGTAGGCCCACGTCTCCCAACTGAGGAAACTGATTTGAGATTTTTAAAAAACATTTCAACTTCTAATGTGTTAAAACATGAGCAATGAACATGTCTGGAAATTTCATAAACACTCCAAGGACTTGGCATGCAAAAAGGATCTCAGGTTCTTAGCAGACCATACACTGAACATGAATCAGCAGTGTGATGTGGTAGCTAAAAAGGCAAATGCCATTTTGGGCTTTATCAACAGAAGTATAGTGTTCAGATCACACGAACTGATGCTACCGTTTTACTCTGCTCTGGTTAGAGTATTGTGTTCAGTTTTGGGCACCACAATTTAAGAAGGATATAGACACGCTGGAACATTTCCAGAGGAGGGCAACAAAGATAGTGAGGGTTCTGGAGACCAAGTCCTATGAGGAAAGGTTGAAGGAGCTGGGTATGTTTAGCCTGGAGATGACTGAGAGGTGATATGATAACCATCTTCAAGTACTTGAAGGGCTGTCATACAGAGGATGGTGCGGAGTTGTTTTCTGTTGCCCCGGAAGGTCAGACCAGAACCAATGGGTTGAAACTAAATCAAAAGAGTTTTCGGCTGAACATTAGGAAGAACTTCCTGACAGTCAGAGAGGTTCCTCAGTGGAACAAGCTTCCTCGGGAGGTGGTGGGCTCTCCTTCTTTGGAGGTTTTCAAACAGAGGTTAAGTGGCCATCTGACAGCAATGCTGATTCTGTGAACTTAGGCAGATCACGAGAAGGGATAGCAGGAAGAGTTGCATCCAGTGTTCCCTCTAAGCTGAGTTAGTGTGAGCTAGCTCACAGTTTTTTAGCCTCCAGTTCACAAATTTTAGTCTTAGCTCAGGAAGGATGGTTCCAGAGCAAACTAATTTATGCAGTAGCCAAATCGCTTGCTCACAACTTTAATGCCTTTAGCTCACAAAGTAGAATTTTTGCTCACAAAACTCCACAGCTTAGAGAGAGCATTGGTTGTATCAGTGCTTAGTTCTTGTGGCCCTTTCTTACGTGCCCAGGGAAATGCTGATTGTCACTTTGGGGTCAGGAAGTGCACTGGGGATGGAAGGTATTTGTGAATTTTCTGCATTGTGCAGGGGGGTTGGACTAGATGACCCTGGAGATCCCTTCTAACTATGATTCTATGATCATGTAAATGCTAACTTTTAAGACAGCAAAGTCAGCAGTCTGATAGTTTGGGGGAAAGCCCCCCCCCTTGCCATACTGGTGTGAGGCATTATGACATATATGTGGAGGAAAAGAGAACCCTGCAATTCCCAAGCAGCAGTATGCAAAAAGTCAATTAATTAAGAACTTCCAATAAAAGCAAGTGTTCCCCCTGCCCCCCTACCCCAAGCTTACAGGTACAGTTTGCAATACTTGAACTATTTGCTATTTTAACTAAAGGGAGTCCAACTACCACAACTCAAGACTGTGAGGAAGCCCAAAGCCAGCTATTTAACTCTACCTTTGAGGAAAATAAAAAAGACCTCTGGCCTCAGCCTCTGATTGTGTACTCATACTTTCTCTAAAGCTGTCAGGAAATATCCTATGGGAGATCTGTGTCTGCTGAGAAGGAAACAAGCATAGCTTGCTTCCCACTGCACACGGTCACCCTGTGTCACCCCATTTTGCTGCTGCCCCTCTTCGAATGGCAAAAGGATTACAAAAGGCTGAACTTCAAGATGTTTTGGAAGTGAAGATCTGAGATTTGAGCTGTGAAGCAGCACACCAAACATCGATGCCTATCTCCAATGGGGTACCTGTTCCCCGAAGCACCCCCCCCAACAGTTAAGCTGCATCACTGCCATTGTCACCAGAAGGACTCAGAGTGGGGGGGGGGAGATGCTCAGCATTCATGATATTTTCACAGGTCCCATCTTGTAGTCTGTTATTATGAAAAGTTCATATTATCATTTTTCTTCTGTATTTGGTTTTCAGACACAGTAATGAATTACAGCTACCAATGTTAGCCAGCCAACAGCAACTCCAATAGCACAATATCCTCTTCAGCTAAGAAGGTGCAAGGATGGGAACTACAGTGCCCTCTTCTCCATCCTACAGGGTTACTCTGGACTGATTCCCATCCCAACAGGCATTCCAATAAAATCACAAATAATGTAGCAGGCCTAGCATACAAGACCTACAAACCAAGGCTGCTAAAGTAGCACAGGGCAGACTAACACTTACAGAAATCACTGGGCGGATTATGGGTAAGGTTTCTGTAGAATTCAGTTCTGTGAGCTTTCTTTAAACCTGTGCATAGTCCAAAATCAGACAGTTTTACATGACCCTACAGAGAGAAAACATGAGTTGACCTTAGGTATTAAACAAGCTGTAATTTTTTTTTAAATCATTGCAATCTTACACATTAATTGCTTGATTTGGCACTAGAGGATTTTACAACAAAATAAGGGTGGTTTAAAAGGAAGCCTGATTTTCACCCAAAAGGCTAATCTTTGCCTATGCTGAATGAGCCACTATTTACCATTCAAAAGGGATTTCTTTGTTATTACTTTGAGCTGAGAACAAAGGAATAAATGAACCAGGAAGGAGAAAAACCACCTAATTGTGCTTCCATTCATGGCCAAGGCTTCAAAGATGCCTCTGAAGTGCTTCTACAGCATACTCACAGAGGCTCTACTGATTTGCTCTCCGGGAATTGCTACAGCCTTCAGAAGCTGCTTTTATGGGGCACAGCCTGTGCGCCACCGATATGAACTGACATCAATTGCTGACCATACCCTCATTGTAATGGTTGCTACTAATGCCACGCCAGTGTTACACAAATGACATACTAGCACTTTATGTTGTGTTTTATATCTATATTTATACTAGTAATAAGGCCCCATTGTGGAAATAAATACAACGAGCTCTAGAAAGAGGCTCTGGGAGAGTGTCCTGGCCTTGGGCACTCAGTGTCAATTTGCTGTGGCGACCTCAGCTGGGTATAATGACACAGAGTCCACCATTTTCTCCAGGGGAACTGATCTCTGCCATCTGAAGAGCAGTTGCAATTCTGCGTGATCTCCATCCCTCCCCTGGAGACTGGCAACAATGGTTCCCCATGAGGGAATGGCTGGTTTGGAGGGTGGAGTCTATGGCATTGTACCTGTCTGAGGTCCCAGCCTTCCTCAAAGCTCACCCTCTCCAGGCTCCACCCCTCAAATCTCCAGGAATTTCCCAACCTGGAGTTGGCAACTCTATCTCCATCCCAGCCAACCGTCAACCTACCGTTATCTGCCCCCTAACTTCAGCTTTCCATCTCTTCCCCCTCCCCCCTAGAGAGCAGTTATAATTCTGAGTGATCTCCAGCCCCCACCTGGAGATTGGCAAAAATGGTTCCCCATCAGGGAATGGCTGGTTTGAAGGGTGGAGTCTCTGGCACTGTACCTGTTTGAGGTCCCACACCTCCTCAAACCTCACCCTCTCCAGTCTCCATCCCTCAAATCTCCAGGAATTTCCCACCTGGGGTTGGCAACCCTATCAGGACTGGCCCCAATGAGTTTTCTCTCAAAGGCCAAAAGAGATGTGGAAAGGGCCTTTTACTGTCAGAACCTGGTTGCCTAGCAACAGACATTGAGAAGAAAGTACAGTTGCCAGCTCTGATTAGGAGAATACCTGGGGATTTGGGGGGTGGATCCTGTGGAGGGCAGCATTGGGGTGTGTGTGGAAAAGATTTGGGGGGTGGATCCTGATAGGGTCTACCCTCCAAAGCAGCCATTTTATCCAGGGGAACTGATCTCTGTCATCTGGAGATCAATTGTAACAGCGGGAGATCTCCAGGTCCCAGCGGGAGATCTCCAGGTCCCAGCTGGAGATTGGCAACCCCAGGGGAAGTCAGCCGCACAGCAGAAGGTTGAAGAGAATGGTTTGATGGTCGCTGGCCCACCTCATTAGCCAGCCAGCCAGCCATGGTAGAGCCAAAAGGGAGAGAGAGCAGTTTTAGGTTTATTCTGACAGGAAAGTGAGCAAGCAGGCAGTGGGCGAGGGAGGGGTTATGCGAAAGATTTATGCGATCTGAAGAGAAACGCTGAAAGTCCTTTGTTTTTTTACTGACAGAAGCAAGCTTGGTTGCCTAAAAACAGCCACTGAGGGAATAGTTAGTCACAGTTTGTCCCACACAGGAGCCAAGAGAAGTATCTTCCTCAGGAAAGAGTCCGGCTTTCCAGAAGCCGCAGCTCGTTTCCTCTAGGCCAGACCCTCCCTGGCGCTGCTGCTGCTGCTGAAGGAACATGGGGAGCCTTTGAAAGGTGCTGGGCAGCCTTCTCTGCGGTGCAGCCCGCTGAGCAATCACCCTGACGAAGCGTTGGCCTTGCGCCCAAGGGAGAGGGGCCGCAAGGGACAGCGAAGGTGAGTGCTTCCCCTACTTGCTGCTGCTTGCTAGGTCTGCCTCCTTCTCCCCTGTGGAGGGGTTGCCGCTCTCTTGGTGGAGTGTCCATCCCCTTTGCCGGCTGCCTCCAGACTGAGGGCGAGACGCTGGCTGCTGTGTGGGCAGGGCCAAGGCAACGCAACGAGGCAATACAGCCAGGGGATTGGCAGACCTTCAGAGTGGCAGCTGAGGGAGCCAAAGGCTGTGGGAGCGTTCACTCCAAAATAGAATTATTATATAGAAAGATTTGCTGTGTTTTATCTGTTTTAAAAATGTTATGTGAGCTGCCCTGAGCCTGCTTCGATGGGGAGGGCAGGGTATAAATCAAATAAATAAATAAGATAGGGGGATAGGAGGGGATAAGCCCTAAAAAAGCACAGGAAACATGGGAAAGTGGCCTTTTGGATCATGCTCAGAAGGTTTCACACCTTAGGCCTGTTGAGTCTGCTCTTCCCATGTATAACACACTGGGCTTCAAATGGAAGGCAGGTAATCTGAGGAAGCCCAGGGCAGGTGGTATAGTCCCAACCAAAGTACAGCAACCTTTTCACGCCCTCCCTTCCTATTGAACATGATATTTGCTTTAAAAATGATGCTACCTGGCTATAGCCCAAACAAGGAAACCATGAAGCTTTATTACATGTGACTTGTAAATCTCTGGCCATGGAAATGTTATCTTACATGCACTAACAGATGCAGTCCTGTGCCCACTTACCTGGGTGTAAGCCCCATTGAATTCAGTGGGATTCACATCCAAGTAAACATGTCTAGGATCCAATCAGTCTAGTAACTACTGCTATAGTCCCAATAGGCTCCTGGGCACAGTGCTGGTCTCAAACAGAAGCTGGGATCCCAAAAGCTATTGGGGTTCTCCAGGAGTCTGTGGGGTGTTGCCTGGACTCAATCATGATTAGCTGATGCAGGGATGAGCCTGGGAGGCTCTTGGGCTCATGTGTACCCTCTTCCCTCCCACAAAGCCATCTAAAGGCAGCCTTCTGGATTCAGGGCAAACTTTCACGGTATCCGAACCACAAACTGCCTTGTCAAGATTCTGGGAGCACATGAGTCTGAGGGTTTGGCCCCTATTTCTGAACTATGTCTGCACACCCAGTAGAATATTTTGACATTTTTCCTTTCAACATCTGACACCTACCCATTCCCGTAGGCCATAAACATTTTTCTTTTTTTAAAAAAAGAGAAACAGATCTACACCCCTTTTATGCTTGCAGCAGTAAAAGACTGTAGCAATTCCTGTTGCCAAGGTTTTTGGATCTGTAGGTTGTAATACCCTACTATAAAGATGACCACTGGCATTGATTAAACCCTATGACCCATATATAACAAATATTGCAAATGATTAATATTTTATTGTTCAGGTAAAAAATTCCCTATGTGTTTCTCAACAAGGTGAAATGTTACTATATCTCAAGGACTAGCAGATTCCCCTGAATAAGCTTCACTGCGAAACATATAGGAACTTTTTAAACCTGAACAATATAATATTCTTTATCTCAGGCTTTTTTGCCTGTTTCTTATCTCCCTGATTGGTGAGCTCTTCTGTTTTCTCTTTAAATAATGATATGTCACTGGGACTTCCTATGTTATTTCAAAGGAGTTCTAAACCCTTCTATCACAATAGGAAATAAAAGACAACCCCTGCTGATAAGTGCAACGAAGCATGGTTCTGGGTGCTCTTCTGACAGGTGACTGTTGCAGGGCAGATCCAGGATCAAAACAACTTCTGCTAAAAGTTGGGGGCTGATCCTATAGTCCCAGAAATGGCCTGCTGGAAACAGGAACAGGGCTAGGAGAAAACTTAGCTGTGGGCTTTCCATGTACCATGACACTGCAAACCAGCAACACGCTGGTGCACCTAAGTGCCAGCAATCTAGTTATTAGGCTTTTCAGCAAGACTGCAATGAACTTTCATCAGCTATACAATACTCCCCTTCCTGTTCCACCATAGCTGTACTTGACTAGAGATTGCAGGCACCAACAGTAAAAGGATATAGGCAGAACAGCTAACAGTCAGGAAACAGGAGATCAACAGAGCAGCTAAGCCCATCCCATAGCTCAGCTCCTGCACCGCTCTGCCTTTTCAGTTCAATTCTCCCCACCCCTCACTCTGCCCTCCCAAAACCAGACTGAAAGCATGGCTATGAACCATACAATTGTACAAGCCACATAAACCAAAGTGCCTTTTAGCATAATGTATTGGGATTAGGTTTACAGAATTCCAGTGTGGTTTTTCACCAACAGGACCCACATTAGTTTTCAACGGATGCAGTGAAAACGGTGTGGGGGGGGAAGAAATATACTCTTGATGTTTATACATAAATTCAGCACATCAATTAATGGTAGGAGATTCCTTTTCAACTCTTTTTCTCTGGCACCTCTGAAGAACAAATGTTAGGGGTATTGGCTCTCTTCCCTCCCTTCCTACCCACCTACCCACCCCTAATATCCAATATCAAAACCAAACCAAAACAAAGGTCTCAAACACTGGAAAGTTAAAACCCATTTCATACCTTTGCATCCAACAGTAGGTTATCTGGCTTAATATCTCTGTGAATGAAGCCTAGCTGATGAATGGCATCAATGGCCAGTACAGTTTCAGAGATGTAAAACTGTGTTTCTTCCTCTGATAAGGTATCCTTTTTCATAAGCAAAGTCATCATATCTCCTGAATGAAAAAGAAAGGGACATTTAACGTGGTCAGAAGCATTTAAAATTCAATGAGCTTTGAATGTGGCACACACCCTGTTCATTTCATTAAGGATGGGATTCAGATGGTTCATCATAAGGCCCTTCTGTGACGTCCTCCTTATTGGGGAGACTGTTTTTCTTCTAAAACACACTATGTTCACATAAACATGGTAGATTACTGCTGCCACCAGGAATTAAAAATACCAAATCTCTCTATTATGGTAGAATGACCCTGTGTCTGGGCACTTCAGAGGACTATGTGGTCCTGAGGAAGGACTCTTATCACTGCTGGGATAAGTTTAAACAAATAATGATTTATTTATAAAAGAATAAAATAGGTTTCTGGGTATTTTGAACTGTTGCTGGAGAAAGGAACTTATAAATATAGCTGATAAAGCTGGGCGTCACACACTGTCTCTCAGAACACCAAAACTCAACTCTGACAACCTTAGCCACTCAGGCTAAATTCTGCCTCTCTTAGCCAACATAGGCTAAACTGTTTGTCTTAGCCACACAGGATAGACTCAAACTGCCATTCAGGCTAAAAACTCTCCACACTCGTCTCTCTAAAACCTAGAATCTCCTCCGAGACACCCCTCCTCCCACATTCTCTGTCATCAGCCAATCACATCACACTCATCTCCCTCTATCACTCTCCTTACATTACTGCAGTCAAACTAACCATTTAAAGAAACACATACATCAAAAGATAACATCATTACACCTTTCATTACAGGAAAAAACACTTTCTGTACACTCATGTAAGAACATACGAGATGCCCTGCTGATTCAACGAGTGAGGGGCCCTCTAGTCCAGCATCCTGTTTCACACAGTTGCTCTGGAGGGCCAACAAGCAGGGCATAGAAGCCCTCCCCTGCTGCTGCCTCCCAGCACTGGGATTCAGAGGTATGATGCCTCTGTAGATGGAAGATCCCTTCAGTCACATTGGCTAGCGGCCACTGATAGAACTCTCCTCGATTAATGTGTCTAAACTAAAAGAGGTGTACAGTTTTCCTTTTCCCCGGTCTCTTCCACTTTTTAAACTTATGCTGCAGTCAAGGCCAGTGCAAACATAACCTTTCCAGTTCTTAAGTTATAATTAGGGGATGAGGAGTGAACACTTCCTTTGCAAGGTCCAGCTCAGACAGATAAATAGTGATTCAACTAAACTAGGATGAACTTTTTATTTACCTCCAGGCAGAAACTCCATTATCAGGTAAAGGTTACGTTTGTCCTGAAAACTATAAAACATCTTCACCACCCAGGCACCATCTGCTTCAACGAGGATATCTCTTTCTGCTCGTATATGAGCCACCTACAGGAAAAGTTTTGAACAACAAACCAGAATACTCCCGTTAGTCAGAAGGGCTTACTACTGAATTATCTTCCTGCAGAATCACTTGGCCTACTTCTGTGCATGATGGAAGAATCTACTATAAACATTTTAAGCTTGATGCTGTACAGAGATATTACCAGACATGCACATTTCTTTCCTCAGACAGACAAGTGATTTGCTGTTCTTGGGAATAGGGTTGCCAGTCCCCAGGTCCCAGTGTGGGTTCCGCCAGTTTTTGGGGCTTCTGCCCGCCGCCGGCCAGCTGGCCAGCGGGGAAAACCCTGCCCCCAAACAGTGACATGATGATGTCACCTGGAAGTGACTTCATCATGTTGGGATGTTGCGCAGTGACACTCTGGTTTGAGGGCAAAACTCTGTGGTTTGAAGCCAGTTTTACCATAGAGTTTTGCCCAAAAACCAGAGTGTCACCCCTGACATCACCAACATGATGACATGATTTCTGGGTGACGTCATTGCATCAGGGACATCCCAGACATCCCTGCTTGGGAGCCATCCAGAAGAAGCTCAGCATGCTGAAGTCTTACTGATCAAACCTAATAAGGGGGTTTGACCCCCAAAAGTTTGTCACAATATATTAATCTTTAACGTGCCGCAAAATAGTGCAATTTCTGCTGTAGCTGACACATATAACTGGAATTTTTGCATTTAGCCTTAGAATCTGATCTCCTACTGTATGTATATTTTTGTTGTTCAGTCGCACAAAAGGTTTGTCAAAGTAGCATTTAGCCTTGGAGTTAGAATTGTACTTCAGTGGGATTTCAGCACACACAATACACTCTACACAGCCACCCTTCTATGCAATACACTTTAATGAATTCTGCATACAGTCAATCCACGCAATCTGTTGACGTGACAGTTTTCTGATAAATTCAATTACTCTGCAAATGCACTTCCACTAAAGGTGGTTTCATACCACCAAGCGATGATGTGATAAGATGCAACTATCATGTGGTATATATGCTCATGAGAATATACTTGGAACCATTCAAGAATCAAGGCCACAATGTTCTCTAGTTCTGGCGTAAAATACCAGAACTAAATCCCACTAAACACTTAAGAGGATTTCTACAATTGGCTTTCATGGTACATCAGCCCACTGGGAAGCTCTGCTGTTCATATTTTGGAGGGGAAGGTCATTCGGAGTAGGCAAATGACAGCTGGATACAGTCACTGTGGACATTCTGCTAACACAGAGCTCAAGTCATACATCATTTTCAAATTAACCAAATCAAAAAGTGCAGTTTAACTATTCCCAATGAATTTATAAATTAAAACTCACTTTAATTTGGAGCCCAATCTTTCCCACCACATAAGAACAGGAAGTAACAGTACACACAACAGGACACAGTCTGAAGAGTCTCTGTGTTCCTTAAAAACATGTACTAATGAACTGAGCCTTCAGCTTTCCTCTGAATTTTCTTCTAGTTTCTTTACCCTTTTCTCAACATTTCCTGGTCAACTGAGTCATGCCCCTATCATGCCGAACATCTTCATAAACTAATACATTCATCTCACACTAAGCCACCAGCCCAGCTTGTAATGGAAAGTAACATATGGCACAGGAAACTGATGGAGAATGAAGGACTGTGAACCAGGTGACTGGGCCCTTCCAACAGAATGGAGTACAGTCCAATATTCACTCATGGCTTCTTTAAAAAGTGCCAGAACATACATCAAACACATACTTGCTCTTTCTCCAGCATATCAGCTTTTCTTAGTATCTTCATTGCATAGATATGACCCGTATCTTTCTTCTGAACGAGACGCACCTTTTAAAAAAAAATGAAAAAAATCATTAAAGCAGGGTTTTAGGCAAATAGTTTGGTGCTCTAGAAGAAAATGCAATGGCTGGTACTTCAGAAGCAATTCCAGAACCGAGGAAAGGGAAAGGATAACTGATACTGTCAACATGGATGATAGACTCTAGCTAAGAAAGCAAAAATTACCACCGTTCTGCTCTGGATTCGCCTCCAAGCGAATCTGAACCTTTAAATCCAGGTAGGACCACAGGACAAAGGACTGGTTGTGTGTGTGTGAAGTGCCTTTAAGTCACAGCTGACTTATGGCAACGCTGTAGCGTTTTCAAGGCAAGGGACTAACAAAGGTGGTTTGCCATTGCCTGCCTCTGCATAGTGACCCCGGACTTCATTTTTGGTTGTTGTTAATATTTTTTTATTTTGAGAAATAACAAGGATAAAGAAAGAAAAAAGGAATATAGGGAAATTAAAAGAGAAATATAGAATTAAATAAAATATTTACATTTTTCAAAGGACATTCATTGTTTACAACGTATAATACATATATGAAACCTATTCATATTCAGAAATATTTTCTTTCTCAACCCCCTTATTACAGTTTTTGACAGAACATTTATAGCTACCGCTACATCAAAAAAACATTATATGAAGATACAGAATATTTTGATTCTGTTTCATTTCCACATACACTATACATCCTAAGAAGCAATCTTTTTGTTGTGTAATTACCTTTTCATATTCTGTCAAATCTCTTATTGCACCTCCTTCTGTATAGGCGTCTTTCTTAAGTCTAGAAATTAACTGAAAGTACACTAGCCATTGTATCTTCTTCCCTTCTTCCGTAATTGTTTGCGAAGACTTAACTTCTCCTTGTGAGTTTAACATGTCTCCCATATGTTATAAAATCATTTTTCCCTTATATATTTGTCACAATAAACATCTATTGGTGATATTACAGGTGATATTGGAGGACTAACAGTGCAATCCTGAGGGAGGGCAAAAGCGCCCCTACATCAGCGTAAGTCTCAGTCATGTCAGGGTAAGTCCAGTTACGTCAGTGTAACTGGTACTTACGAAAGCATAGGGCTGCTACAGCGCCCCATGGTTCGTGGGCGGTGAGTGCAGCAGCCAGCTGGTAGCACAACTGAGGCATAGGCCCTTGTGCTGGCATGGTTGGGGGTGGGGGTGGGGGCGTGGCCACATCATCAGCATAGCTTTTCAATTCAAATTCTTCTCCCTCTACTTTCAGTCCTTCAGTATCTGGATCTTGTCTTATCTTAGAAGCAAACACATCCAGTGCAAGAACAAATAAGAGTGGTGATAATGGACATCCTTGACGTGTCCCCTTTTGATTTGAAATCCATCTGTTAATTGTCCATTAATTAAAAGCTTTGCCTGCTGTTTCATATAGATACCCTGTATCCAATTCATAAATCTGGAACCACAATTCAAATGTTGTAACATTCTTGTAAGAAAGGCCAAGATGGGTTGTCAAATGCCTTTTTAGCATCTAAAAATATAAATGCTGCTTTATCCCCCTTGTTTTTCACAAATTCTATTGCATTAATTACAAAGCTAACATTTCTTTTCATAAATGTTTTTGGTACAAAACCAGTCTGATCAGGGTGAATTATAGAAGTAAAGATTTTGTAATCCACATTTAATAATGAAATAGGCCTATAATATTGTGGTAGCATTGGATCATTGCCTTGTTTATGTATTAACGTAATAGGGGCCTTCTGCCATGATGGAGGAAGTGTTTTCTCTTTACTTATTTCATTCATAACTTCTAGATACATTGCTGTTAATCCATCTGGGCCTCATGCTTTATCTTTTCTCAGTTTCTTTATGGCTTGTGAGATCTCTTGTATTGTGATATTTTGATTCAGAATATCTCTATAATCAGCTGAAAACTTCTCAATGTATGTATCCTTTATATACTCCTCTATTCCTCCTTCTGTTAATGGATCTTTCTTGTAAAGTTTTGAGAACAGTAAACTGCTCTTGAATCTTTTTCTCCACAAAAGTAACTCCATCTTTCTTCCTCATTTCTGTTATCATTCTTCTTTCAGACTCTTTTTCTTAAACAATATGCTAGGTATCTTCCAGGGTTGTTCACATGTTTGAAATATTTGTTATAGGAAACTTAATTTCTTCTGCATTTCTTCAGTTTCAAGCATGTTGAATAGATTTTTGCTTAATTTCACTTAGAATTCCTTTATTTAAAGATGGTTTATGTTGCTCTTCCAGGGTTTGAATTTTCCCATAATTTTTATAATGTGCTCCAATTTTTCTTTTTCCTAGAAGCACCAGCTATAAAATTTCCTCTCATATAAGCTTTACTGGCTTCCCAAATTGTTGTTATGGGGACATCTTCTGTAGCATTTAATTTGAAGTATTCTTCTTAATCTTTCACATTTTTAATTATAACTTCCTGCAACAGAGAATTGTCATTCAGTCTCCATCTTCCTTTAATTTAATTTCCTTGCCAAACTGCCATTACTGGGTTGTGATCTGCAAATATCTTCGGTTGGATCTCAACCCTCTCCACATTCATAATTAAGGTTTTAGATACCCAACACATATCAATTCGGGATTATGTTTCATGTCTATCGGAAAAGAAAGCATAGTCTCTGGAATTTGGATTGGTAGTTCTCCACACATCTTTCAAATGTAACATTTCCATATAATTAAAGATATTCTTAAGGAGTTTACGCCCTTTTGTTTTTCTAGATCTGTCCTTTTTTGGGTCTATTACTCCATTCATATCTCCAAAAACAATTATCTCTCCTTCTTGGAAGTCCAATAAGGATTGAAAGAATTTCTCATGGAATTTTTCTTTAGCTTTGTTTGGGGGATACACCAATGCTAACGAATCTTCCCTTCAAGGACTCTTATTTTCAACATGTTATATCTTCCTTCGAGATCTTTAAACTCTTCAACAACATTTATGCATCAGTTATTTACATAAACTGTGACTCCTTTTTTCTTTTTGTCTGCTGAAGTCCACGACTTTGCCCAATTTCTTATTCTTTAAGATATGTTTATATATTTTTTTCTTCACATGAGCTTCTTGAATACTAATTATATCTGCATCTTGTTTCTTTGATAAATTAAATGTTTTTGATCATTCTGAAGGTGAGTTAAGACCATTAATGTTTACTGATACAACCTTCAGCTTATCCGTTTTGTTAAAATTCTGCAGTTTGGTCTAATTTATCAACTTCTTTGTCGGTGCCTTCTTTGTTCATCTTTCATTCTCAAACTCCTCAGGAATATTCTCTGTTGATAATTTTCCTGCAATTGTTTGGCTTGTTCTATTGTTGAAATTGTTCTTCTATCCTTTGATAGTGCAACTTCTATACCACATGGTATAGAAGTGTTGGACTGGATGGGCCTTTGGCCTGATCCAACATTGGCATCTCTTATGTTCTTATGTTCTTATGTTCTAACTTTCCAATGATATTTTATTTATTTCTTTTGTAAGATCTGCCTTAAAAAGTCAAAGTGTATCCTTTTCCTCAGTATAGTTGTAGGTAAATCTTGAAAAATCTGCACTTGTTTCCCTGCAGCCTTAAGTGGAGATTCTCTGTTTTTTTCAATATGACATCTCTTGGTTGTTGTTTTTTGTGTGAATCTGACCAGTATATCTCAAGGTAAATTGTTCTTAAATCCAAATCTTGAGGTTATTCTGTACATCTGATCAATAGCTGGGAAGTCTCCTTGAATCTTCAGATAATCCTGTAGAAGCTTATATAAACTGTCTTCAAGGTTTATGTTGCCAGAATCCACTGGAACACCTCTAAATCGAAGGTACCGTAATTATCACTGGACTGAACTTCCAGAATTGCAGTCATTTGCTCTGTGTTGTCTTAGATCTTGTGCTTCTTGATACAATTCCAGTTCTTTTTGCTTCTCTAACTTTCTCAATCTCTTGCATATTTTTGTGATTTTGGGGGGGGATTTTTGGTAATCCTGTTGTTTCTTGTTTGATGCCTGAAATTTTTTTGTTAATCCTTTCCTGTGTGTTTTCTTCTGCTTGTTTACTATTTTCCTGCATTCTTTGCTCTGCTTGTATATTTTTTTCCTGAGTTCCTTCTTCTGCTTGAGTAATTTTTTTTTTAGTTTGATCCTCTGATTGTTTAATTTGAGCTGTAACTGTTTGGATTTTTTGAAATCTCTGAAAATTTATCCAATAATTCTGTTACATCCTGGTATTCTTCATCACCTCCTTTATTTTCATTTTCCTTTAGATGTGTTGCCATACTTAATTTCCCTCCCCCCCATTTCAAACCAACTTCCCATTTATTTATTCCATCAGTTTAGTATTCAATAGTATTCTGGAAAACCTCCCAAAGCAAAACTTCTTTTTTTATACAAAAGGATTATCTGCCTGACTAACACATCATAAATAGACCGCTCATTCAATTCACTAATTTTATCACAATTTATAGTTCTATAATTTCATGACTATTTTTCAGCAAAATTATTTCACATATTTCAAATATTTCAGTGAACTCAATCAAATCTATACGCATTTATAGTATAAGTATAGGTACATATATAATCCAAGTGCATAACAATTCAATTTCTTAATTTCTTATTCTGTATAGTTTTGTCTTTTCTAACAAAAGATAAACAAGAGAGAATAATAATAATAATATTAAATGCTAATATTGGTCTATTAGTTTGTTTAATATCCTAGCTACAAAATAAAGAAATTAATATTAGTACTTTATATTAAAGAAGAAGAATTGTCTTTTGGAATATGCAGTTCTGAATCTTAACACCAGATGGCACCAATGTCCAGCAAATCTAGTATAGTTCTAGTATAGTTCAATGTGTGATGCAGTTCTTTTTGCCAACAAAAGTGAAATCTAGAAACCACTCCAGAAAGGGGAAGCAATAATAAAAAAAGAAAAGAAAAGAAAAATCACCCACTCCAACATTTAGTATTTCACCCAAGAGAGGATCTCATAGAGGAACCAAAATCAAACTCAAAGGTTACAGCCGAAGGGAAAGCAAAAAATAAGTCAAGTCAAGTCAGGCTTTATTGGCATATAGAAAAAAAAGAAGTCAATTATATCAGACCTTGTGAGAGTACACAGACCTTGTGAGTTTCAAACTCTGCTCTTTATCTTCTATTGTTAATCCTCCACAAATCTTGTTACTGCTTCAATTGGTTAAAGATAGTTAAGAACCATCAGGGATGGAGAAAACAATATGCAGAGAGCCTTTCTTTGAAATTTATAGTTGTTTACAGAGTCAACACAGCGACTTATATAGCATGAAATAATTCTTTATCTTTTGTGAGGGTTTAATGGGGGTTCACAAGTTCAAAATCTGGGCTTAACAGTGTCCAGTAATTTATCCCCCCCCCCAATATTAGTTCAGTAGGTTTGTAAGAATTTAGTACAAATCGTAAGCAGTGTTCCCTCTAAGCTGAGTTAGTGTGAGCTAGCTCACAGTTTTTTAGCCTCTGGCTCACAGATTGTTGTCTTAGCTCAGGAAGGAGGGCTTCTGAGCAAACTAATTCATGCAGCAGCCAAATTGCTCGCTCACAATTTTAATGCCAGGAGCTCACCAAGTAGAATTTTTGCTCACAGGATTCCACAGTTTAGAGGGAGCCTTGATCGTAAGTAATTTTTCTCTTAGCAAAGCTTGCCGTGTTTCTGTTCGTTCATAGCTTGCAATAGTACAGTTCATTCACCCATTTCCAGTAAATTAAGATAATTTTTTTCACAATCTTCACAATCTTTTTCCAATGTCCTTATAATAGCAGAGAATTTAGAAGAAAGCACAAGGATGTGCACAGAAAAGAGAAACCAAAGGGGGGGGGCAGCCTTAAAGGTATAAAAACCTATCTTTGCCTCACTGTCTTTAGAACAAGCCTGGAACTGAATAATTCAGGTCTGGAAAGCTTCGCCTGTCAAAAAAGCCTCCTCTTGGAGGGGAGAAAAGAAAGCTGACACTCCTTCCTTCACTGGCATTTGAGTCTAGACGCCCCCAGTGAGGCTAGATCCTGGATCACTGCTTTAGTGCTCCTAGCAGGCAGCCACGTCCACCGGAAGTCCTCAAGCCTGTACTTCCTTGGTGGTCTGCCATCCAAATTCTAACCAGGGCTGACCCTACTTAGCTTCTGAGATCTGATGAGACTGGACCATCCAGGCCAGGAGTGGATACATTCAGTTTAAAGTACATATATTTTCCTCTAATTGTAAAAGAAATGATTTGAAAACCCTGGGGGAAAATACAAGCAATGTGGAACTCTGGTATAGTGTAGTAGTTAGTGTGAAACTTAAGCTAGGTAGACCTGGGTCCAAATCCTCATTTGGTCATGAAGTTCATTTAGTGACCCTGGGCTAGTCACTCCCTTTAGCCTAACCTACCTCACAGGGCTGTTGGAGGGAAAAGGCAGGGGGAGGAAATCACGTATGCCACCCTGAGCTCCTTGGACAAAGAGCAGGGGGGGAAATCAAAATGGAACATCTTCGCAGTCATTTTCATCTGAAACATTAAGCAATCTGTTTAACAAATAAAGATATTCTGAAATAGAGCTTTGGGAACCCTGAACTGGCTGGAAAGGCGGCATAGAAACGTTTCACATAAATAAATAAACACTCTTCCAGAAAAGCATACATTACGAACCTCTCCAAATGCACCTCTTCCAATAACTTTCAAAGATTCAAAGTCATCTAGGCCTAGCCTAGTTCTCTTCAGCCGCAGGAATTCAGTTTCTTTGCGGGCATGCTGAGACCTTCGCAGCTTTTTCTGAAGGAAAGAATTGTGTATTGGACAATTTAAAATAACCAGAAAACTTCAAAAGTGAACAGTATGAATGTATAATCTATTTCTAACACTGCTATCATGACATCAAGCATTCAACAGCATGTGATATAACTTTCTCTAAAGGACCAATTGTTCACCCCTAAAGGGCGGTGGCACTCTGCGGTTTCTTGGTGGATGGAGAAGCTCACCCTCGGCTGCTGCCTCCCATTCTTGGAGTCCCCAGATTTCATGAAAGAAAGGCATAGAGACCGAGGCCTTCCCCTGATGTTGCCTCCTGGCTCTGGGATTCAGAGGCTTAGTGCCTCTGAAGGTGGAGGTTCCCCTCAGTCACCATGGCTAGTAGCCACTGATAGACTTATCCTCCATGAATCTATCTAATCCCCTTCTAAAGCTGTTTATTCCTGTGGCCATCACTACATCTTCTGGCAGCGAATTCCACATTTTAATCTCTGTGTTAAGTAGTATTTCCTTTTGTCCATCCTGGACTTACTACCCATCAGCTTTATTGGATGCCCTCAAGTTTTAGTATTTTAGGAGAGGGAGAAAAATTTCTCTTTGTCAACTCTCTCCACTCCATGCATAATTTTATAAACCTCTATCATGTCCCCCCTTAGTGGTGGTCCAACGCTCTAATCATCTTGGTTGCCTTCTTCGGTACCTTTTGCAACTCTGCAATGTCTTTCTGGAGATCCGGTGACCTGACCTGTACACAGTCTTCCAAATGAGGCTGCACCACAGATCTATACAGAGGCATTACGATATTGACTGTTTTATTCTCAATCCCTTTCCTAACAATCCCTAACATAGAGCTTGCCTTTTTCACTGCTTCAGGCACTTTTCAAAGTGCTTTTCTATATCATCATCATCATGATCATCAATCTATATCTATATACGCAGAACAGTTTCCCATAGGTTCCCTTCGGCCTACCAGTGACAAATGGGGTGGGGAAGAGACCTTTACATCTGGAAAGCCCAAGTCACTGACACTCCGCTCTCGCAGCAGCCTCCTCTTCCCTCCCTGTGGAGATTTTCTCTCCCCATCCCAAGCATGTGCCTGGCTCGCCTCTTCTTCTCCTCCCTTTTTGGGGAAAGACTCTTTCCAGGCAAACAGGGGGCTTCTCCCAGGGCCATCATCCTCTATTATAGCATCTCCCCAATCATCTTGTAAACATTTGGAAGCTGGTCTGTTTAGGGGGAGGGGATGGAAGGGGGGCGATTATTCATCAAGTTAATGATTTTAGAATGGATTGTTTGAAGATTTAATAAGGAATGATATACTGTATTTAGGGATACTGATTTTTATTAGCTGCCTTTTGAATCAAGATTTTAAAACATGAACATCTATTCTAGCAATAGTTGATGTGATCATTTATAGATCTATAACGAGACAAAACTGTGCAAGATTATCTTTTTAAAAGACTAATCATTATTGCCACTTTAAAAAGAAGTTAGTTACGGAGAGGCAGTGTTATTTCTTGATGTTCAAAAAGTGTTCAACACAGCTGAATGGATAACTTATAGAATGGATAGGTACACAGTTACAGTCTTTATCAATTGTTATTATCCAAGTGAGAACTGATTTGAATATAAGAATAGGATGGGTGTCCCCAATCGCCCCTTCTTTTTACACACTAAATAGAACCAGTGGTGATAGTCATTAGATACGATGTAAATATTAAAGGGATAAAAACTGGAAAATATGCTAGTGACCTGAAAGATGTATATTTTAAGCTAACAGTTCTGTGGCAAATTTGTCGCTTAATTTTGAGATACAATGTTAATTTGAAAAATCAGACCGGTTAAGAATCAATACGACTATACAATTAAAAACTAGTATATCAGCACTTTGTAATATTTTATGGAAAGTATCTGAATGCAAATACCTGGGAATATGGATCAGGGAAATGTGGAGAAAACAGCTGAAATCAATCATAAAAAGTTATACGAAGAAATCACTATAAATTTTAAGGCATAGTCTAAATTGAAATTAAAATGCACAGGCAGAGTTTCTGTCACAGAAGTGAATCAACTACTCAGAACACTCTTCTTACAGAATAACAACCTTTCTAAATCAGTTCTGAAAAGGAGACAAAAAGCATGTCTTGAGGTTCTCAGGGAGGATGGGGGGGAACATGCTTACAGGCTTTCTTCATTAGCATAGTTTAGAAATATGAAAGAAGGAAGTGTGGGATTCTCTTTCTACTATGAGGCATGCAGGCTGCCTGATATAATAAATGGGATAATATTTTATGGATATTATCAATTATTATAGGAAAATGATCTTCCACTATTACAAGATCCTGTTTGGTATCAGAACTTGGGTAATTACAAGAGGATAGCAATCCACGTATTAATCTAGTTTTTGCAAATTTGGGGGGAAAACTTGAGTTAAGCGATGGATTATACTCACTTATGGCAAGGTATAATGTGCAAATTATTTTAGAAATATCAAGCAATTTTGAAAATTGGGTGTGTGTGTGTAATTTTTATAATATTAAATTGGAACAAGATAGCATCCTGCATACCAGCAAATAATGTATCAGATATATAAACCCATTCTGAAATTCAAAACAGGCTGTTAATAATTTTGGAGAACTGCCAAATAATCAGTAGATTCAGCTTCTAGCGGTCATCTGCATGTATCTTTTGTTTCTATTTTAGAGAAAATATGTTTATGTTGACAGTGTTAATGTGAAAGGCAGCTTTGTTTCTCTCACATAAATCTATGGAACAGGGGCCCCCCCATACACTTTGTTCTTCCTGTGATCCCCACCTGAAACATTACAGTCAGTGGGGGCAGCAGCAGAAGTGTTGATGCCAAGGCGAACATTTACGAGAAGACTCAGCTGGGGGAAGGAGATGTTTTAACCATCCTGTTGTCTCCCTGTCAGTTCTCCTGATCCTTTTTTTTAATGTTATTTCCCCAGCCTGGACCTGAGTTTTGAAAGAATTCCAAGTGGGAAAACAGAGCCTGAAGCCTGAGAAAAGCATGCATGGAGAACCTGCAGGCATAGGAAATGTTAAACAACCCTCTAGACCCCTCTTCTCCACAAACTCGTGTGCATTACCTTAACAATTTGGGAACACAGCCAATATACATTTGCAAGGCACCCACTACAGCAACCTTGCTGAGGTAAGCAGTTCTTGGCTTGGTCAGTGCCTTCCAAGTTGGTCTCCTTGGATTCCATGATGGAAAAACGGTGGGGTACAAAAGGAATTTTAAGAAACCCTGATAACTTAGGTGTTCAGACCAGTTAAGTACCTGAATGTATACTTGCCCCTCTATCTTGTCTCCCTTCTGACATGGGGCAGCCCATGTATACTTGCCCCTCTAAAATCAATTGTCTTCAGTCCATGGGTGGACGTGGATCACAAAGCCTCATCTGCAAAAGCATGTCTCTACAGAGCTGCTGTTTTGGAAGAACCTGTCACTAGCGAGCATGTGAACAGAAGAGGCTAGTGGCTTCCCTTTGTGCACTTGTTCAGGCAGGGTCAGTCAGTGATGAAGAGGAGTTCTCTGTGGCTCTGACTGTCGGCTTGTCCCTAAGTACAGTACTCCTCCTATTGCTCAGCTTGCATCTTCCTCCCTAGATCTCTTGGTCTGCTGCCCATAATCCTAGCCTTGACAGTGTTAAACTCATAACTCTGCCCACAGAGTCACATGACTTCCTATCACATGTTGCAGCTTAGTATGACATGGATTAGTAAAAGCTGACCACCACTACTCAAAACGTTTTCGGCCCTTTAACTTCAGCTTCAGCTTTATCTACAATCTACAAATCATATAGTTATCCCCTTTGTGTGTCAACAAGGGTGTGAAGGTCTTTCTTGAAACATTAAAGGCTACACTACAGTGTACAACATTTGGATGTTTCAACAATGCTGCTTGTTTGAAGAAATAAATGTAAATACTAGATAATGCCTAGTCTACCACACAAATATACATACCGTACTAGAAGTCAACACAAATACCAGTCTAGTTTTAAATACCCTCCCTTAAGGGCAGAGTAGTGAACAGTTTTATCTCTACCTTGCAGAGGACCAGATATGTGAAGGCCCAGGAAAAATCTGAGGGAAGGTTTCTCCCAAGAACTGTTTAAAAAGTTTCCAATGGAAAATGCGGGGGAGTGCTGAAAAATACTATGAAATATTTTCTCTTTTAGAATGAGTGAAATGCTTCTTAAGGCAAGGTGTTTCACATTCAAGATGTACAGTATGAAAAAGTCTGAAGAAACTCTGGGGGAGCACTGAAAAAACCCTCCTATGAAATATTTTGAGAAAACTTTTGTCTTACAAAGCATTTCACTCAATGTGCTGCAACATATTTCTCATTTTTTTTCCAATGGAAAAATTGGGAAATTTGGGGGAACACTGAAAATACCCTCATACTGATTTATAAAACATTTAAGAACTTTTTTGTTGAAATGTAAATAATTTTGACAATTTGTATGCTGTGAAGCACTGAATAATAATAATACATTATTACAGAGTCCAGAGTTTTCAATGTTACCAAGTTTAGTATAATAGTCAAACATGCTGCTGACAGTCCTACCTTTTGATATTCTGAGACAGTTTTTGTCCAAATAGTATCTTTTCTTTTGTTTACTACAGATTTTTTTCTAGCTTTTACTTCTATTTCTTCCTGTACCTCAGATGGCAATTAAAGATACATGTGCTATATAGAGTTTACAACTTTCTCAAGTATTGAGTATACTTAATTTTTTTCTTATAGAAAGTATATTAATACTTTGCAATTCCACAAATATGTCAAGTAGTACAATTCTATATGCTAAGTTACAAATGATGCATTTTACTGGAAAGTCAGTAAAAGAAGTTTAGATTTGATAGGAAAGGATGGCATATATTTCATTCTTTCCTCAAATATCATTTTGTTTCCCAGGAAAAAATGTGTTGTGGGGCTGGCTTCAAAATTTCTGGAAATTCTACATCTTTATAACATACCAAATCTAAGACTCCTACTTCACAAAAAGATGGGAGTTATTTCTGCACTGTTCAGATTTTCTGGACTCTGCAATTTAACAAAAATTATTCACATCACATTTACGAATGTCCAAGCACCAATCTTGGCCAACTATCGTAAAAGAATTCCACTTAAACCGCAATTCTATTACCTCTTCATCGGCCAAGCCTTCTTCTTCCATAGCTACCTCCAGTTTCTTCTGCCTAAATTGGTGCACACACACAAACAAAAAAATCCACATATTACACATAGCTAAGGTGCCATGGCAGAGTGGTAGAGCATCTGCTTGGCATGCAAAAGGTCCCAGGTTCAATCCCCAGCAATCTCCAGTTAAAAAGAGTAAGTGAGGTGAAAGACCTCTACCTGAGACACTGGAGAGTAACTCCCAGTTTCAGTACACAACACTGACCTTCATGGACCAAGGGCCTGATTCAGTATGAGGCAGTTTCATGTGTTCATGCACGCATACGCACACACCTTGAGCCCGCCTTGGCGGGAAGGGCGGGGTATAAATCGAACTAATAAATAAATAAACACACAACCCACGTTACTCTACAATATGGAATTTTTCTTACTTTATCCATTAGTAAGAGGAGCGGGAAAACAGAAAAGTTGTGTGGAGAAGACTGCTCACCTATATTCCTACATGGGCCCTGCTGGGATCCCTATCTCGTCTCCCTTCTGACATGGGGCAGCCCTTGGATACCCTGGGCAACAGCCTTGGGCTGCTAACCAAGACACTAGACTAGCACCAGAAAGAATAGCCAATAACATGAAGAGTGGACTTGCCTTCCCCTTCTTCTCCCATCCACTAGGGAACTATGGACATCCAGGGGTGCTTAGGTAACACCTTTCTACACATTCTTCCACCGAAGCAAAAGAGAGGAGGAAAATGGGACAGCTATACTGGTGATGGGCTTGCCAGAGGACTTTTTGGAGACTAGTGAGACTCACCCACCCACCCCACTCTGCATCAAATCCAGTTGCTGACTGGTGCCTTTAAAAGCAGGGTTCTCCTACCCTATGCTATTCCCATGTAGCAGAAGCTTGTCCACCAGCAGAGGTACCATCTGCCTACCAGTTCAATTTTATTTTAAAATGCTACCTTTCATAAAGTTGGCCAAGCCTTGCCCTGGTTTATTTCAAATAGATAACTGGAAGACTGACTGAGTCCAAAGCCCTATGAAGTAAAAGGCTGAAAAGGCATTCTGAGTCACTTGTTCAAGCCTGATATAAAAAGCAACATCTTGGATCTCCAGGGATAGTTAATCTCTCATTCACAGGAGAGATGAATGTCATTCTATCCATCTCTGGGACAAAATGCCTCCCTTGCAAAACCTCCTTCTCAATCGCTGTTCTCAGGCCAACTTTTCACTAGCCTGGGACAGGATTTCCCAACAAGGGTTCCTATGCTTAAGTACTGCATTACAAGGGGTGGGAGTATTTCATTTTGGTTGGAGCTTTAAAAGGAGATTAAATTTATTTATTTTAAAAACATGCTAACAGCCGATGAGATTATCCTTGCTGATTTGGGTCTAACCCTGAGCAACAATCCAAAACACTCACCAAGCACACAAAAGAAACACAGCCCAGAGCTGGGTTAGCTCTAGCCACACAGTGCCATTTATTGACAGTAGCTTGCTGACCCAGAAATTGAGGCAGTGTCAGGAAGAAAAGAGGAGAGCAGGCAGCATGAACATGTTGCCTCCACCTTGGTCAGAATCAGCAGGCAGAGATAATTTTGCTGGCTATTTAGCTCTCGGTTAATTCAAAAGACATTCCTGGTTAAAAGTAATCTGCTGTGTAGGATTGTGTACATTTTCAAGGCTTCTATCTCCCCAAATAGCTAGTACGTATGTGTATATACAGGAGCTGCAGTGGCTCAAGTGGTTAAGACGCTGAACTGCAGGCTGTGGAAGGTCAGTAGTTCAGCAGTTCGAGACCCAGGTGCCGCATGATGGAGTGAGCTCCCATCTCTAGTTCCAGCTCCTGCCAACCTGGCAGTTCGAAAGCAAGAAATTGCAAGTAGATAAATAGGTACCACTTCGGTGGGAAGGTAACAGCGTTCCGTGGGCCTTGGTGTTTAGTCATGCCGGCCACATGACCACGGAAACGTCTTCGGACAGCGCTGGCTCTTCGGCTTTGAAACGGAGATGAGCACCGCATCCCTAGAGTCGGATTCGACTGGCTTTCAAGCAAGGGAAACCTTTACCTTTACCTTTATGTGTATATACAATATATAGAAACTGTTAGAGCAAAAGAAACCCCAGCATGCTACCTGGTTTCTCTCTCCTCATGTTGTAGAATTAGGTTACTATAGAAGTTCTCCAGTGTCAGCTTGGCCACGGTCACCCTCTCCCGGCTGTGGTTGCTCATGGGGAAGGATGCTGGAGTCCCTGCAGTCACTGCCATAGTAACATGAACTGAAACAGCACAGAAAATAATACTTACTCAATAGAATAACCCCCCCCCAATAAACTTGTGATGATGAAGATTATAACTAATATTGTAGGGGACGGTGAGTCACCTACAATATTAGTTATAATTGGCTTTTTAGAGATGTGGGTGAGGTTCACCCATTTAAATGACAAAGAAATGACATCTGGACTCAAACACTCTACATGGCAGTAGTAATAACAAGTCGCAAGGTGCAGGAAGGTTGCAAGCCACTAGGGTTACAAAAGAAACATTCAGTACTGGTTCTCAGCTGAGACCATGCTAATAAATTCAGGTGGGTAGCTGTGTTGGTCTGAAGCAGCAGAATAAACTCTGAGTCCAGTGGCACCTTTAAGACCAACAAAATTTTATTCAAGGTATAAGCTTTCATGAGCAAGCACACTTATTCAGATAGAGTGAAACAACTTCCACAACCATTACATATAGGTAGGGGGGTCAGTTCCTAGGAAGGGCTAGTTAGAGTCAATATGAATGAGTAACTGGGTGATTATAGCTGAAATCGGATTAAGGCGGTTGGTAAAATCTGTGAATGGCAATAACTTAGCATACAAATACTAATACTAATGAAGGACTGTGTATCTACATAATACTAATACTAACGAAGGAATGTACATCTACACATGCTAAGTCTCTCAGTTCTCGCATATACCCAGAATTGAACTTTGTTATCTTGGAGGTACCACTGGACTCAAACTTGGTTTTCATATCCATTTGTTAACGCTTGTATTTATATGCTAATTTAAATGTTTTAGTAAATGAATTCTGTTAGTTGATTCACAATGTTTCTGGAAAATAATTGGGCATTCTCCGTTTTCAGGGCATTCCAGAGACTAAGGGATAGAATCTTAAAGAAATGATGAATGGAATACTGGCTCCAGTGACAGGTATGAAGGTGGAAGCTTTGCAGAGTGACATGGATGTGGCCTTCAGGTCATATTCTGGATATATAAAAAAGAATAATCTGCCTGGAGAAATAGTGATAAGATTCTCAAAGAGGTGCATGAGGGATGCAATCCTGAAAGCGGCATCTGGTACACCCGTGAAAGTTGGAGAAAATACTATCAGGATTTTAAAATACATTCCATTTGAAATAAGACAAAGGAGAAAGAAGTACAAAGATTTAATTCTTTTTCTCCAGACAAATGTAATTGGATACAGATGGCTAACTCCAGAGGGCGTAACCTTCAAAATCAAGGATAAAAAGGAGAAGATTGACTCGGTTCAGAAAACATGGAAATTCTTAAGGGCCCAGCTGGGAGAGCCGGAAGAGGAAGAGGAAGAGAGAAGGGACACTAAGTCCAGTGGCGAGCTGGACTCGGGATCTTCCGGAGAGGACTCTCTATCCGAGAAAGGAGCAGCAACTCCTAAAAGTCCTCATAAACTGCGAAAGAGACCGGGCAAGGGAAAATGAAGACTGAAGGAATCTTAATTGTGCTTTTGAGATTAATGAAACTAGATGCTTAGGGATCTCTCTTGTAACAGTTAAAATCTAGATATGAAAAAGATGGTATTTTTGGTTAACTCAGTTCATAATGTAACCAGCGGGATTAAGATATAACACTTGTTTAAGATAATTTGATGACCTCCACTCTTGAAGTTTTAGGTAGCAGTGGGTTTCTTTTCTTTATCCCGATATTTGTAGTCCCTATCCCTATTTTCTGTTAGAGTTTCTAGTGTATTAGAAATGCAATTAGAAAAATCCCCTTTGGGGGGCATAAAAAAAATATATAAATAAGGACAAAGCACCAGGCCCAAATGGGCTGACAACAATGTATTACAAACATTGGAATATTATGAGGCACATCCAGAGAGTCAGATGGCATTGGTCTTCTTAGATGCAGAAAAAACATTTGATAACATTACCTGCAATTTTCTCCTAGAAAAACTAAATACTTGGGATTGCGGGGAAAACGCCTATATTAATTCTTTGGGAATTAATGCAACATTTGCCTTTGCCCACATGCTGACTCTAATCCCTTCCCTACTGAGAGAATCACAATTTCTTCAAATAAGGTGACAATTCTTTAACGATAATAAATAGATCATTTAAAAAACCATCCGGACCTGGTGTCTTGTTCCCTTTAAATCACCAATTATTTCCTTAATTTTCTCAATTGTTATAGGTTTATATCCATAAGAGCTCCTCAGATTTTTTTGGGTACTTTCAGACCTTTAAAGGATTCTGACATACTGCTATCTTGGCCTTCTTCTTGCAAGTACAAATTTCTTTGGGGGAAATCCTTGAATGTAACTATTTTAAGTAAACCCTTTATTATTCCTCTGAGGCTTGATTTCAGAGTCAATAGTTTATTAATTATGGCCTCTTTAATAAAAGGCTTTAACAGCATCTTGAGCATCTAATAGTTTCATCTTATTTCTGTTTCTAACACCAATCCAGTTCCCTCCATTGGCTGAATCATATAAATGTTCTCAGCCAATTCTTTTAACAATTCCTCTCTCACCTGTCTTTTTTGTTTATTTGCATGGCTTTGCAGAGATATTAAGAAGTCCCTGAGATACACCCTAAAAGCATCTCAAATTCTATGAAATGACATTTCTTGATGGTTATTTATCTTGAAGAACATTATTTCCTCTTTAATCTGCCTAATCACTTCCTCATCTTTTAAAAAACAATTATTTAGCCTCCAAGATTTCTGTCTGATTGATAGGATGTTCAATACCAAATTTTAATTTAATTGGGGCATGGTCATTGTAGATTGAGGAACTATTTCTGTTTTAGCATTTCTTAGCAAGGGCAACATCTATTACAGAGTACACTAAATGCCTGTTGGAATAGAAAGAGTAGTCTCTCTTTTTCTAATTTTAAAATCTGAAACTATCTACTACATTATGTTCTTGCAACCAATCTCTAAAGATTTTTGGCATTTTTAAATGAGCGGTATTACTGTTTGAGGAGTCCCACTGTGAATCTAGAACACCACTGAGGTCTCCAACCACTATTAATTCTCCTTTCATCCACTCCTCAAGATCGTGTAGCATTTGTTCATAAAATGCCTTTTTTTTCTCACTGGGTACATATACACAACCTAACATGAAGTGCCAATATATATATACTTATATATATATACTTAATTTGGTATTAAGTATATATATCCCTTCACAAATACGTTATCTTCCCTCACTATCACTCTTGGTCCTATCAATAGTAAATGGCAATTATCTATCAAATGTTATCATGATCTCTTTAGTTTTGTCTTCTACTGCTGCATGAAAAGGAGTGCCTCTGTAAAGTTCTCTTATTTGTCTCTCCATCCTTACTATGCATTTCTTGAAGGCAAATAGTATCAGCCTTTTCCCCCTGCAGTAATTTAGAAAGTCTTTTTTAAGTTGGTTGTTCAATCCATTTATATTGCTGGATTACAATTTAATCAGAAGCATCTTTATTTACTAAAAAGAGAATAAGCAAGACAGAGTAAGCAAGTGAGAACCTTGTAATGTATCAATTAATATGCTACCCAAAACCAACTGAATAGCAAACAAATATAACAAAGTTAGAGTCCAGTGGTACCTTTAAGACCAACAAAGTTTTATTCAAGTTGGGACCTTTTGTGTGCAAAGGACACTTCATCAGACACTGGAATGGAATTACAGATCACAGTTGTACATGTAAGGGGTGAGTTGCTAAATTAGCATGCAAAATAGTGAAAATGTTTCTTTACAGTTAAAAAGAATGACAAGCGGGGGGGAGAAACCAAAAACTACAAAGAAAGAGAAAAAAAGGGAAAACACCATATCTTATATCCCATAACTATCCCTTTCTATGTAATTTCTAAATTTACAATTAGATGTGGGGGGGATGAGAATTAGGAACACCAAAAAAATGAAGTGTTTCCTTAATTTTGCTAATTTAATCAGGTCTTCTCATTTACAAATATCCAATTCCCATTAATTTTATTAATCCTTAGTAGTACAGTACTTTGAACACTGCTTTAGGCAGACAAGAGAGCTTGCTTCAATCAGAAAGCTCATTCAAAGAAAGTCATTTAAATGCATCTTAATATCTCACTTTGGATCTTTTCCACAGTTCAATTTTAAATCAGTCATAAAACTGTTTTTTTTAACTGTTTTAATATTTGTATAATGTATTTTTAAAATATGACTGTGAGCCGCCCTGAGCCTGCCTTTGCGGCGAGAGCAGGATATAAATCAAATGAATAAATAAATAATAAAACTTACATCAATTAGCATTGGAGACGTATGTTCTTAGGTATCAATTATGTAATGCCCTCTATATTCCACAAAGTCACACAGCTCCTCTACTCTTGCTCTACTCACTCTTGTGAATCTTCTTACTTTATCCTCTAAGATAGGTTAGCAAAGATGACATACATACAAAAAATAGAAGAAGGTGACTGGCCCACCCATGCCCACGGAGCAGCCTTGCCCACCAGTGAATTCTTTCATGGGGTCCTCCTGAAAAGCACACAGAGCAACTGCCTGCTGGTCAACCAGAGATGGAATGCCAAGCCCTCCAATGAGAGCTTGGCACTGGAGCGGGGGGGGAGGTCACCAACTTGCCAGGGCACCACTGCTGCTGCACATCCTGCAAAAGACTCAGCCATCAGGGATGTGGTCCTCCCAGAAGGTGCCCAGAGCAACTGCCTGCTGGTCAGCTGGAGATGGATAGCCAAGGCCTCCAACAAGAGCTTGGCAACTGGAGTGGGGGGGATCACCAAGTTCTAGGGTACTGCTGCCACTGCACATCCTGCCCAAAGGCTGTTTTCTTTATGCCTGGCTCGTGGGCTTCCCAGAAGTATTTGGGTTGATAGTTTTGCACACCAGTGTAACAAGCAAGGCTCTCATGTTACTCAAACGCTCATCCTATAGGCTACTGAGTGTTACTGGGACCCATATCCTGATCAGATCTTCCCTACTTGTCAAAATTCTTCAAACTCAGTAAAACGCTACTGACTTTCGGACTGGTTTCCAAACAAATAATGAAGCTACCTGCCTGCCTATAATATTAATATTAACTGAAAAGGAATACAGACAGAGAATCTATTCTAATAGCCTAAGCTAAATGCTGTATGCTTTTTTATCAATAAATATTCAAATTTAAGGTTTTTTGTTTTTGTATTATGAAATATTCATAAGTATTCTAATATCCAATTTTCTATTCCTTCATACATACACAATGGAAAAAATAAAACATAAACCAATTAAAAAAATAGAAAGCTCATGGATTACAAGACTGGAGTGTGTATTTACAAAGTCACGAAAGTGAAAAAAGGTCCTTTTTAAACAATGGTATCAATAATGATAGAGACCTTGAACCGGACCAATTTTTTCAAAAGTCATGGAACATCCACTATGCGCTGAAATGAACTTGGCAAGGCTTAGAACTCCACAATATGTTGGCATAGAGGTGGCAATCCTTAAACTCTTTAAATTGAACTACAACTAACGCAGATCCCAGGTACTCTCAGACATTTCATTTCTTCATCAGAGAGTATAGTTCATGCAGTCTTGGAGCTTATCATTAAACATCAAAAGCACTTTACACCTCTGAGGACCAACAAAGCTTCAAAAACCAGTGAAGAATAGTGTCAAGCTCTCCAATTCTTCATGGGTTTTTGATGCTTTGTTGGTCCTTTGTTGGTATTTCATAATACAAAAACAAAAAACACACTTAGATTTGATATTTGAATATTTATTGTAAAAAAGCATACATCATTTAGATTTTAGCTTAGGCTATTAGATTAGATATAATACTCTTACGACAATACTGGCAGCATTTCTAGCAACCCCTTGTCAAAAACTGTAATACATCAAATTGCAATATACCTTCCCAATATCCTGAACTCATCAAGGCAGCCTCATAAATGCCACATACACTACCACAATTATAAATTTGGTATTAAGTAACAGCGTTCCATGCGCCTTGGTGTTTAGTCATGACCACGGAAACGTCTTCGGACAGCGGTTCGGCTTTGAAACGGAGATGAGCACCGCAACCCTAGTCGGATTTGACTGGCTTTCGAGCAAGGGAACCTTTACCTTTAAACTTACCAGTAGGAACATATCCGAAAATGTATCACATTCCCTGCAACATCAGTGCTTCCATATTTAAGAAGCATGGCTAAAGTTCAACAAGAAGTGGATGAAACTCTTCCACATGTACAATAGAGACTGCTTTAGCTAGAGAGATATTTCTGTTTATTGGTCTTTCCCACTGTCCAAAGGGAAGAGAATGCAGTTCACAGTATATTCCAAGGCATCTAGAAGACTATCCATGTAGCAGTTCGTATTCCTTTGACGTATTTTCCCTGCTGATCTTGCCTTACTGTCTTTTAAGTGCCTGGCCAAAATATTTCTTTTTACTTCAGATGTTTGACAATGCTTCTGGAATTATGACAGTTCTAAGAATATTTTTAGGCTATTCAGTGTTGATTTTACATTTTTAATGTCCCAACTAGTTCTACTGGCATTTAAAATACAGATAGTTTATGTTGTTGCTTTTATGGTACTGTCCTTATTTGTGAGCCATCTGAGATCCAGCTGCTGAAAGTGATTTTGCAGAACTGTGATCAGAATTACAACAGGATATTTGTCACACATACACCAGGCTTCAAACATAAGCTGCTCTGTTATACAGAGCCATCATCCAAGGAGCACAAGCACAGTATGCCCCTTAAAAACAACTGAGGCTGAGGGTCAGCAGCCTTTTAAAAAATTAACTCCTAAGACAGATATGTAAATTAATGCATAATTCAAATTTGTTTAAGAAGTCTTCATATCATGGACTATTTTGCCACATGAGTGCATTTGAAAAGCCTATTCTAATACATCTGCTCTATCTTTGAAAATGATCAGGTCTAAAGCAGGAATACAATTCTAGTTTTTACACTTTTTAAGCTTCTCCTAACCTAGTTTTAAAGGAGAAAGGCCAAGCAGAGACTTGTGAGCTATAGGCTGGACCATGGGTGGGCAAAGAGCCACATAGAATAAACGTCAGATGTTTGAGAACCACAATACATGAACAAATATTACACAGATGTTTTATTGGAAAATATGCAATTTTGCTTTTTATTAACATTAAAAGTACCAAAAATAAAAACAAAAGAGGTAAAAACAGATATTGATAATGATATTAATTTGTCCAATGATATTTGTTTATGATACTTATTTGTCTGAGACAGAGAGAGGTGGAAAGAAAGAATTAAAGAGGTGGAAAGAAACAGAGAGAGAGAAACAAAGAAAGCAAATAGATGGAGAGGGAGGGAGGGGGAAGGAAGGAAGAGAGAGAAAGGGAGGAAGGAAGGGAGGAAGGGAGGGAGGGAGGAAGGGTGGAAAGAAAACAAATAGTTGGGTGAAGGAGGGAGAAAAGGCGACAGAGAAAAATGAAGAATGCAAATAGATGGGGGAGGGAGAAAGAAAGAGAAAAAGAAACAATGAAAGCAAATAGATGGGGAGGGGGGAAGGAAGGAAGAGAGAGAAAGGAAGGGAGGGAGGAAGAAAGAAAGAAAAAGGTGGAAAGAATGCAAATGGAGGGAGGGAGGGAGGGAGGGAGGGAGGAAGGAAGGAAGGAAGGAAGGAAGGAGAGAGAAACAGAAATAAAGGAAGCAAATTAGATGGAGGAGGGGGAGGAAGAGAGAGAAAGAAAGGTGAAAAGAAAGAGGTGGAAAGAAAGCAAATAGATGGGGGATGGGGAGGGAGGGAGGGAGGGGGGGAGAGAGATAATATAAACAAGGAGGTAGGGAGAGGTGGAAAGAAAGCAACCTTAACTTTAAATATGTTCTCCAGCCCCCACCATGCCCTCACACCAGCTAGCTTGGCAGGATTTAAAGAGATAAATGCTTTCTCTAAATTGGGGGGAGGTTGAGAACACATTTAAAGTTAAAGTTGCTATCTTTCCTCCCCCTCACCTCAAGCCAACCCAGGGTGAGGACCACTGGCTGTGGAAGGGAATACCAAATGGGGAGGCATGCCTCCCCTTTGCTCCCCCAGTGCCAGGAGCCACACAATATGTGTAAAAGAGCCACACTTTGGTCACCCCGGGGCTAGACCAAGAAGTCCATTCACTGTTTCCATCTGCCTTCTGTGCAGACTTTGAAACTTGCCATGCAAAAGGGTTAATTTGCTTTAAAGTGAATGCTCCCTTATTTCAAATGCATTATACCATCCCATATTTGTTATTTTTAAAACTGGACCCACACATGGGAGCCAGGCATCCTCCCCCAAAATCTTACAAAGAAGAGGACACAATCCTTTGAAGCTGAAGTGAGCACAACTTGTGATCATGCTACCAACACATTTGGTTATGACGACAGAAGGAAAGAAATAAAAAACTGGAATTGTTTTAAAATATATATATATCCGAACCCTTCAATAAAAAAGACTTTGGGACGCAATGATTCCCAAGGTCTAAAACTCAGCAAGGCTTCAACACCTGCAGGAACGTGAAAATGCACTCCACATGGGAGCCTTTATCTCGCTAGCGGAACTGGGGCTGCTTGAGGGACGGGTGGGGGCGGAGGGTGGAGGCCACAACTTTGCCTGACCCGGACCCCGCCCCGCCCCCGTTTAACCCGAGAGCCGCCAGGCTCTGAAGGTGACCTAGCAGTCGGGTGGACCTGACATCCCCAGGCTGGTCTGAATCAAAGGCGCAGCCGGCGTTTCCTTTGGGGATTCTGCTCTTGACCAACCGGGCTCCCCAGTTTCGGGGGGGGGGGGGATTTAAGCAACTAAGTGGGGAAGAGTCCGAAGCGGCAACCTAAGCCGAGACCATCTTTCTCCTTCCGGGGAGAGCAGAAACTAGGATCTTGAAACGGTTCCAGGGGGGACCATCGACCCTCGCCCACCGTTCGGCCATCCCCCGCAGCGTTCAGACAACCATACAGTCCCAATTTGGCTCCCCCGTCAGGCTTGACGCACCGCCTGGCCTCGGTCCCAAGCGCTGCCCTTCTCTCTGCCCGTGCAGCCTCGTCCTCTACCCACCCGCTCCCGGCTCGTGATGGAGCATGGGGAGTAGTGCCCTCCGATCCGGAGGGAGCACCCAGGCCCCTCGAGCTTCCTTGGCCAGGCGAGCTCTCGCGCGCACTCACCAAACCGGCTGCTTTCCCTTTGCACCCGGCTGCAGCTGCTTCCACTGCCCGGCTTGCTAATGGAGGGAGGCAGACAGGCAGGCGGCACCGCGCTGTTTACAGGCAGCTCTCGCGAGAGCGTGGAGCGGAGCGAAAAGGAGCCGAGCGCCCGGCACGGCTGCCCAATAGCCAAGGGAGGGGCAGCCCACGTCCGGGCAGAGAGGCTGCCTTGCGGCTGGGAGAGCAGGGGATGGCGAGTAGTGCAGGGCAGACGCTTAGCCAGAAAATGGGGTGGGGTGTGAGTACAGTGGTGGTCAGCCCATGCTTATTTATTTACTTTATTTTTTTATTTATTCTTTATTAGTTATTTCCCAATTTTCTACTCAACATGGATTACATGGTATAGAACGGGAAAAGGTAAAAGTCGGATCTACATGGACCTTCATGAATTCATATGATTTTTACATTGAAATGAAATAAAACTACCATCGTATTGTAGGCCATGTGTTAATCTATAGGGGGCACCACAAAAATCACGCATCAACAGATTCCTGGCACCACAACAGCGCAAACACATGATTCCAAAGCACGGATCCTCATGAATTCATATTATTTTTACGCTGAAACAAATAAAACCACCATCATACTGCAGACCATGTCTTAGACTATAGGCAGCACTCAAAAAATCATGCCCCCACATCCATGGCACCACAAAACTGCAAAAACATGGTTCCTAAGCAGGATCCTCATGGATCCTCAGGGTTTTTCAATTGGGTCACTCCAAACACACCATCAAATCACATAAGAGAGCCAGTTTGGTGTAGTGGTTAAGTGTGCGGACTCTAATCTGGGAGAACCGGGTTTGATTCCCCACGCCTCCACTTGCACCTGCTGATGTGACCTTGGGTCAGTCACAAGCTCTGGCACAGCTGTCCTTGAAAAAGAGCAGTGTGTGTCAGAGTTCTCTCAGCCCCACCGACCTCACAGGGTGTCTGTTGTGGGGAGGGGAAGGGAGAGGAGTTTGTAAGCCGCTCTGAGACTCCAAGTGAAGGGCGGGGTATAAATCCAATCTCCTCCTCCTCCTCCATAACACATCCACGTCCTCAACTTGCACCACAAAAATCACAGATCCACGGCTTCGTGGGGACACCATTCTGCAAAAACATGATTCTGAAGCAGGATCCTCATGGATGTTTGGTTTTCTTCTGGGGGAGCCGCTCGGCCATCACACGCTAGAGGTGGAATTTGCCCCTAGGACTCCAAGGCCCCCCCCCCGGGGCTCAGAGAGGCGGGGAACAGTTCACGCCCCTCCCCCCGCCATTCGCTGCCTTAGCGCTGCTGCCGCCGCCGGCAGCCATAACTTTTTAAAGAGCCCCTAACAATACCTGGGAGAGCCAGAATGACCTCTTGCGCGAGAGGTGGAATTTGCCGTTAGGACTCCAAGGCCACCACCCCAGGGCTCAGAGAGGCGGGGGAACAGTTCGCGCCCCTGCCCCCCACTGTTGCCGCTGCCATTAGCGCTGCTGCCACCACCGGCAGCCGTAAAATTTTAAAGAGCCTCTAAAAAGACCTGGGGGAGCCAGAATGACCCTCGCGAGAGGTGGAATTTGCCCCTAGTACTCCAAGGCCACCACCCCGGGTCTCAGAGAGGCTGGGGAACATTTCGCACCGCTCCCACCTGCCGTTGCTGCTGTCATTAGCGCCGCAGCCATCGCCAGCAGCCATAACTTTTTAAAGAGCCCCTAACAAAACCCGTGGGAGCCGCTCGGCCATTACACGCAAGAGGTGGAATTTGCCCCTAGTACTCCAAGGCCACCACCCCGGGGCTCAGAGAGGCGGGGGAACATTTTGCGCCCCCCCCCCGGCCTTTGCCACTGACATTAGCTCTGCTGTCGAAGCCGGCAGCCATAACTTTTTAAAGAGCCCCTAACAAAACCCGTGGGAGCCGCTCGGCCATTACACGCAAGAGGTGGAATTTGCCCCTAGGACTCCGAGGTCACCACCCTGGGGCTCAGAGAGGCGGGGGAACGTTCCCCCCCCCTCCCCCCCGCCGTTGCCGCTGCCGTTACCGCTTCAGAACCATATTGTGGCTTTATGGTGTTGCCAGGAAGCTGTGGATCCATGTCTTTTGTGGTGCAACCTGTACCCATGGACATGAGATGGGATTTGTTGGCGTGTTCATTGTGACTCAACGCAAAACGCAAAAGCCTTGAGGATCCATGGGGATATGTGCTTCAGAATAATGTTTGTGCAGCACGTTGCTAGGAAGCCGTGGATCCATGAATTCTGTGGAGCAAGTAGTGGCTATGGACATGATATGGGATTTAATGGTATGTTTGGGTGTTCCAACACAAAACCCTCAAGAATCGATGAGGATCCATGCTCCAGAACCATGTTTTGTCTTCACGGTGTTGCCACGAAGCTATGGATCCATGACTTTTGTGGTGCAAGCTGTGCCTATGGACATGATATGTGATTTGATGGTGAGTACATGGTGACCCAACACAGAAACACTGAGGATCCATGAAGATCCATGCTTCAGAACCATGTTTTTGCAGCATGGTGTTGCTTCCTGCTTTGGAACCATGCTTTTGTAGAATGGTGTCGCCAAGGAGCTGTGGACATATGACGTCTGTGGTGCAGTCTGTCGTGGAAAAGGGTAAAAGTCGGATCTACATGGATCCTCATGAATTCATATGATTTTTACATTGAAACGAAATAAAACCACCATCATATTGTAGGCCATGTGTTATATAGGGGGCACCACAAAATTTACGCTCCCACAGATTCGTGGCAACACAACAGCACAAAAACATGATTCCAAATGACAGATTCTCATGAATTCGTATGATCTCTACACTGGAATGAAATAAAATCAACATCATAGTTTAGACCATGTCTTAGAGTATAGGAAGCACTACAAAAATCATGCCCCCACGAGTTCGTGGCACCACAAAACTGCAAAAACATGGTTCTGGAGCACGGATCTTCATGGATCCTCAGGGGTTTTCAACTGGGTCACCCCAAACACACCATCAAATCACATAACACATCCACGCCCACAGCTTGCACCATACAAATCACAGATCCACGGCTTCGTGGTGACAGCATTCTGCAAAAACATGATTCTGAAGCACGGCTCCTCATGGATGCTTGGGATTTTTGTATCGGAACACCCTAAACATACAATTAAATCCCATATCATGCCCATGGCCACAGACTGCACCACAGAAATCACAGTGCCACAGGCCCGTGGTAACATCATGCTGCAAAAACATGGTCCCGAAGCACGGATCCTCAGGTATCCTTATGATTTTTGCATTGGGTCACCAAAACATCACCATCAAATCACAAATCTTGTCCATGGCCACAGAATGCACCACAGAAATCATGTCTTTATGGCTTAGTGGTGACACCATGCTGCAAAAACATGGTTCTGGAGCATGGATCCTCATGGACACCCCAAACATACCATTAAATCCTATACCATGTCCATGGCCTCTACTTACACCACAGTATTCATGGGTCCCCAGTTTCGTGGCAACACCATGCTGCAAAAACATGGTTCCGAAGCATGGATCCTTGTGGATCCTCAGTGTTTCTGCGTTGGGTCACTCAAAACGCACCATGAAATCACATATCATGTCCATGGCAACAGCTTGAACCATAAATATGTTTTTGCAATGGGGCACCCCAAACACACCATCTAATCACATATCATGTCCACGGGAACAGCTTGAACCACAGAAATCATGGATCCACAGTGGTTCAAGCTGTTCCCGTGGACATGATATGTGATTTGATGTTGTGTTTAGGGTGACCAATTGCAAAACCCTCGAGGATCCATGAGGATCCATGCTCCAGAACCATGTTTTGGCTTCATGGTGTTGCCACAAAGCTGTGGATCCATGATTTCAATGGCCGCCGGCGCATCACACGCGAGAGGTCATTCTGGCTCCCCCAGCTCTCCTTGAGGGCTCTTTAAAGAGTTATGGCCACCGGCGCTGTCGGCGGCAGCTGCAATGGCCACGGCGGCGGGGGGGGCAAAACATTCCTCCGCCTCCCTGAGCCCCGGGGTGGTGGCCTTGGACTCCTAAGGGCAAATTCCACCACTCTCGTGGAACATGGTTCTGGAGCACGGATCCTCGGGGTTTTTGCAATGGGTCACCCCCAAAACAACATCAAATCATATATCATGTCCACGGGAACAGCTTGAACCAAAGAAATCATGGATCCACAGCTTTGTGGCAACACCATGAAGCCAAAACATGCTTCTGAAGCACAGGTCCTCATGGATCCTCAAGGTTTTTGCAATGGGGCACCCCAAACACACCATCTAATCACATAACATGTCCATGCCAATGGCTAGAACTGCAAAAATCACGGATCCACAGCTTCATGGCAACACCATTCTGCAAAAACATGGTTCTGGAGCACGGATCCTAAAGGTTTTTGCAATGGGGCACCCCAAACACACCAGCTAATCACATAACATGTTAATGCCACCTGCTAGAACCACAAAAATCACATGTCCACAGCTTCATGGCAACACCATTCTGCAAAAACATGGTTCTAGAACACAGATCCTCATGGATCCTCAGGGTTTTTGCAATTGGTCACCCCAAACACAACATCAAATCACATATTATGTCCACGGGAATAGCTTGAACCACAGAAATCATGGATCCACAGCTTCGTGGCAACACCATGAAGCCAAAACATGGTTCTGAAGCACAGGTCCTCATGGATCGTCAAGGTTTTTGCAATGGGGCACCCCAAACACACCATCTAATCACATAACATGTCCATGCCAATGGCTAGAACTGCAAAAATCACGGATCCACAGCTTTGTGGCAACACCATGAAGCCAAAACATGGGTCTGAAGCACGGATCCTCATGGATCCTCAAGGTTTTTGCAATGGGGTACCCCAAACATGCCATCTAATCACATAACATGTCCATGCCAACGGCTAGAAGTGCAAAAATCACGGATCCACAGCTTCGTGGCAACACCATTCTGAAAAAAACATGGTTCTGGAGCATGGATCCTCATGAATCCTCGGGGTTTTTGCAATGGG